CAGCAGCTTCCTCTTGCAAAGCTCCCAATTGTTTCTTTATTATGGGTAGTGTCCAATCCACTATACCACGATGTTTCTGATGCCGAAGGATTTTGTTACGTTTACGTTGTAACCGTTTAATCTGTTTGTTTCTCCAATTGACTGTCTCCAATTGAAATGACTTGGTAGACAGTTTGACTTCAGCTTTAATCCAGTCCCAATTTCTCTGAGCAGTGTAATGTTTTCTCTGATTCTGGAGTTGCAGAACTAGTGTATCCAAGAAAGCAGCTAATTGTTGTCTAAACTCTTTCTTTTTCGCTAAGTTTGGATTTGCCTTCCATGCACCTAGGCCTCTAGTGCTTGTAGCGAATTACAAAGAAAAAATAATATCAGAATATGTAATCAATTTGAACTTCGATAACAATTATGCCGACATGACAAGTATGTCATTTGTGTACTCAAAAAAAAAATTAGAAAAAATAAAAACCACCGCTTTAAAATAAATGAGAAATGTTTTCTGTAATGGCAAGAAGTAAAAAATAGGAGAATTTCTGATTTTCCTGTTCTAAATTAATAAAAAAGCATGATTTTCAATTTTTCTGTTTAAATTAATAAACGAGTCTACCGGATGATAGCTTCACTGTTTTAGTTTAAAAGAAGATATTACTGCCTGGTAGATTTGTTTTTTATTTTGAAACAGAAAAATTGGGAAACAAGCTTTTTTTTTTTAATTTTGAGCAGAAAAATTAGAAAATTCTACTTTTTTTTTATTCTTTTCATTGCAAAAAATTTTTTGATTTAATTTAGAAATCTAGTTTTTATTTATTTCTAAAAAATATTTTTTTTAGTACACAAATGGCATACTTGTAATTTCGGCATAACTGCTAATATTTCTGCTATTCTGAAAATGCTTTTTCTTTTTCTTTTTTCTGAACCAAGCATAAATTTTAGTGTTCAAAACCTCTTTCTAAAGATTGTAATAGCTCTACAAAAAAAGCAGCTAGAGAGAAAAAAAGCATGGAAAGACTTGTATACCTCAGGCCTTCGTTGTCAGTGTGATGGACTTACCTAAAAAAAGAAAAAAAAAAACATTTTCAAACATCATAAAAATATTGACAGTTATGCCGAAATTACAAGTATGCCATTTGCGTACTCAAAAAAATATTTTTTGAAAAACAATAAAAACCTCTATTTTAGAATTAAAACCACTATTGTAAAATAAATCAAAATATTTTCTGCAATGACAAAAAATAAAAGAGTAAAAGATTTCATATTTTCTGCTTGAAATTTTGAAAAAAGCTTGTTTTTCAATTTTTCTGTTTTAAAATAAAAAACAAGTCTACCGATTATTGATCTCTTCTTTTAAGCTAAAACAGTAAAGCCATCATCCGGTAAACTCGTTTATTTATTTAAGGCAGAAAAATTGAAAAGTTGGCTTTTTTTCTAATTTTAAGCAGAAAATATGAAATCTTCTGCTTTTTTATTTTTCTGTCATTACAAAAAATGTTTTTGTTTTGTTTTATAGTGGTTTTTATTTTTAAGTACATAAGTGGCATACTTGTAAGTCGGTATGAATGTTAACGGAGTTTGAAAATACATATGTATTTTCTTGAGAAGTTCCTGACATCTACGGCTATTACCGTGATCTTTTATGGCTCTACCTCTGCTTCCTGTAGACATATCGAGAATTATAGTGGTTCCTTAATTTTCCGTATTTTTGATCTGTGCTGGTGTTGACCATACACCTCTCACTATTGACGAGCCGTACAAATAGTCCCAATTCATGAGAAGGGCAACTCGACTGACCCAGTCAGCTACTGACTAATTAGTCTGACTACTATCTCCGGAAAAAACAATCGAAAAATGCATCAAAGAACTTCTCCAAGACCAAGTATCGTCCTTAGACACTGCCCAAGGTGGCTTTAGAGAACGCAAAAGTGTCCTTGACCAAGCTCTTTGTCTTTCAGAAATTTGTAAGTTGTTTTTTTTTTTCACAACAATACTCAAGAACATCAGCTCTGTGCTTTATTGGAGTACCAGATGAACCTCTATACATTTGCTTCTATCCCAAATCACCTCTATGTAACATGCTACCACAAACAATCTACTTCTTCCAACATCCAACCAAATGTTTCTATTTCTTCTCTGGTTACAAATTCACGCCCAGACACAACATTAGATCAACGCTCTTCTCTCCATTCCTTTTTTGCCCCTATTCTCTCAAGGCGTGTTTTTTTTTTCTTTTTTTTTAGCTTAGTAAAACTATTCATTTTTATAAATTGATCGAGCCTGAACAGTCGAAGGCCACATTGGACCATGTGCTCAAAAGGATCTTTTCTACAAAATCAATAAACTAGCAAACTTTAAGTATGAGTTTCAAAAAATTAACAACAGTGTGCAAGTATGTTATTTGTGCCAACCGAAATACATTTCTGGAAGATAACTACTTTTATTATTCTTCGATATTTGAGTAAAGGTTTGGCCAGAATCTTCCATTGCTTCTGCTGTAATGTCTTTAACTTTAAAGAAGTTAAATATAAAAAGAAATTGTGATAAAAAACAATATAAAAATAAAAATATTGTCAAAACATTAACATAAATCTACATAGAACTGTATAAAATTTGCATATATTGTGAAAGAAAGGAGGCACAAGAAACTAACAAAGAATTTTCTCACAAGACTATTATGTTAAGGAGCAAATTAATTTCAAAAAGCCAAAACACATACAGCTCTTCTATTATTCTGCCCATCTATGGTCTTTATGGTCATCTATGGTCATTCATAGTCACTCATTATAACGCGTGTTCATCTATGTCAACCCATACTCATCCATGATGTTCCTTGCTATTCTACCAATATCCAAATAAGAGCGAGAAAATTAAAACGAAACAAATAATTCAGTTCATTGAGTCATATCTTTAGATGATTGCTTGTATAAGGGTTCAGCATGCTCTGCAGAGGTCCTTGTTCCATAAAGAAATCTTAGATAGTACAATTGGTTCAGATAAATCACTAGCTACTTCTGTACAAGGATCTGCATTAGATGAACCAGCTAAACTCTAAGCAGCTCAGTGTGATTGACAGGTTGATGCATAAGATTTTCTGTTTAACTTGAGGCATTTTAGCAATAAGACAATGACTGCATAATTAGATGTAAGATTGTAGCTTTTAAGGTATATGTACCTTGACTATAGATAAAGCAAGCAATCAAATTAGAGCTGTGAACAGATGGCAACATGTAGTCATTTGTACCAGATTTAATGAGTTATGACGCTTTCATGAGCAAACGTTCTCTTTCTTTTTTTTTTTTAAGCATTGTCTTCAAATCAGCATTCAAAGTCTGTTGTACATTGTGAAGGATGTAAAAGAGGCCCTTTTAGTTGACATCGATTAGCGAGCGAGTACTCATCCTAGTACCAAACGATGTGCATAACATTGAAAAGTAAGTCAGACTATAGCATTTGACACTTTTCAAGTCAAGAAAAAAAAAATACACACACAGTTTTAGATATAACCAATAATAAATGTTTGGTATTAGATACTCTCTGCTTTGAAGACTATTTCTTTTTCTTTTCTATCAAGGCTAAGTGAATGCAAATTGATTTCCTCATAATAGTTTTGTCGTGCCAGCACTAATCTGTATGATTTCAATCAAACATGTCAAAAACAACTTCATTTTCTATTGCCTTACACAAATCTTTTGAAGCAGAATATTCATTTGCATGCGCAAGACACTACTATTATAAGACAAGACAATGGTATGAAAGTATGGAGGACTTTACTTTCTTTATTTTATTTTATACATGTGTTTATTTCAAAAAAAAAAAAAAAAAAATAATAATAATAAAATAAATGGCGTCAGTCTTTAGTTTCACTTCATGGAGAAGTTACTCACAGGAGTAGCCGCGTGAAGGCAACTGACTTGTACTCCCAGGCCCTCTTCACTGACTCATGTCAACCGCCTGCAGATTGATAGTGTTGCCAGATCCTTAGAAAAACCTCCCTCATCAATAGCAACGGTCACCATCATGCTTGACCGGCGGCAACGTCTATACACTCCCTTATCGCAAAGCCAGCACAGTCGATAAGAAAGCGCAATCATTGACTATAACAGACACACCGGAGCTGGTACATGCGCTGATATTGACGAAGGCGAGCACTTACCTCAAAGGGACCGGACCATGAAACGAGCAGCTGAAAGTAAAGAAAGAAAAAGAAAAGATTTAAAGAAAAGAAGTAAAAAGAAAAAGTACTGCGAGACTTTATATATCCCCTGTTTTTTTTTTCTTTCTGTCTCTTTCTATTTGTTTCTTTTGATAAGGATCAGTTCATAAAGAGAAGAGAGAACGCCTGATTTTGTATTACATTAAAGCATAAAACATACGATCAACTCTTTACTTCTCAACTCTTTAGACGTAAGAATAATCCGTAGAACTATCGCCCATCTTTCCCTGAAAAATAAAGCTTTCTTTTTGTTTGCTACAGAGCTTATATCCATTACTTTTTTTTCCTCTTTCAGTTAAAAAGAAACATGGGCTAGTTCTAGAAATTGTCTTCAATCTTTAGTTTAGTAAACAAGAATTGTATATATGATATAAACAAATGGTTTAACTAAGTTACACAAACAAAAGCAGTTCACACACTTTGTTCCCTTCAAGTCCAAAAGCTAGGATAAATGCTTGAAATAGAAATGAACAGCAACTTGTGTTTTTTTAAACAAGTATTGAGATCTCTTCAACCAGTCATGCTGTACTGTCAAGAAGCATAAAGAACCATGTACTGCTGCATACTGTGAGTAATCAATTTCCAGAGTTATGCGGAAAACTCTTCCATCCTCAATGAGGTAAAGTATTCACCTCTTAATTAACACAATACAAACAAACCCAGAAAAAGAAAAGAGGCTTATTCGAAGAAACAATTGGCTAGCAAGACATATTCACGTGGAAATAGAAGAAAAAATAAAATAAAAAGTCTAGAGCAAGTTTTTTTTTTTTTTTTTTTTTTTTTTCAAGGCTCGAATAAAAAAAAAAGTTTTCACACCTCTATCCACTCTAGTATTAATTCTGTAACATGGTTGCCGCGCCAAAATTCCCTGTCGAGTGTGATGCTGAATATAACTTAATAAAGAAACACGAAGAAAGTTCACCGATTGTGCGTTCATTTTAACAATGCCAGTTAGCGACTTTGGTGTTATATCACGACATATTGATTGTATTCCAGAGGATAAACTGATGACAAAGAAGCCTGAGGATGTATATCTTGATATAAAACTGCACTATATAATATAATGACCAACGAAAATAGTCAGCAGCCTTACCTTCAAAGATGGATGTATTTATTCGAAAAGTACATTCGTACTTCTCGCTTCGAAAAACAAAAGCCAATTTTATCAAGGAATATATTCATGCTAAGGACGAGAACGAGCCCCGATGGGCCCAAAGGAAAATAGCAAAAGAAGACAACAAACATATTACATGCCCAACACCTTGGAAATGCATTGACGATGAAAGGTCTTGTGGAATTCAAAGGATCACTAACACAAGTATCAGCACCAGCACAAGAAGACACAACCACCCAATCACACCAGCATCAGAACGGCAACAGACACAACCACCCCAATCACACCAACATCAAAACGGCAACAGAGACAACATCTATCAAAAAGGTAACATAAAAAAAATTAAATGATAAAACGAATGAATAATTTTTTTTTTTTTTTTTTGCTATTTCAGAACTGTACATTGGAAAGAAACAAAAAGAAAGTTACAATATTACATCCAACAGCGTACCTTACATCCCCAAACAAGCCCAAGATCCAACACGTTGATCGAGAGGCAATTAAAGATTTATGTGACATCGCCATGGAGTTTTAGTACATGATAAAAATTACAAAAACGGAGATGCTATAAAGGAATACAAAAGCTACGTGGAGGATCAAGATCGATTGGCCTCATTTGACTTCTTTCCTGGTGTCAGGGATTTTCTAAGTGCCATGTTAAAGATAGACAGGGAAGATCTTGTTCAAGCACTGTGGAACAATGAAATAAGGCTTAAGGCTACAGGCTCTGCTCGTATCCTAATGGATATCATCAGCTATACCCTCACTGATTTTAGCTCCAATTGTAAACAACCACTACATAGCACGAACAACCATGAGAGAACTCCATTTGTTAAATACATTGTTCCAATGTTTAAATACTTTGGCCAAGAAACAAATTTGATTGAGTTTTCGTGGTGCGAAAAAAGTTTGGAGACATACGGGATGGCAGCGTTGGAGAGCAGTGACTTTGTTAAAAACACCTGTGATAGAAAATACGCTGATGCATTGGAAAAAGGCACTACGACAGAAAATGAGGAATTCTTTATAGAGTCCAGCAGCGGCTTCGAAAAAGAAAATATAAACCATTCCTTGGACGATACACTGAAATTACTAGCAGAGTGTAGCAACGCATTACTCCACGTCATTAAACATAGCAAAAAAGCAAGCATTGATACCATAACCAAGAAATGTACTCTTGGAGTCCAAGTAATCAAGCAGACCTTGACCCTAACAAAGGCGAGCTTATCGAAATCTGGAAAATGGAAACTCGTCGAGGTACGATCAGCCTGCATCCCAACTTCTTGGGAATTACGTAGTCAATGGAATCTACTTTTCGAGATGCTAGCCACAATTTATCATGAGTCATTACAGCAGCGAGAATTGGATACTCAAATAACCAATGAAGTTTGTCGTTTGGTTGAGATTCCCTCAGTATCCGCTGTAGACCACTTCTTGAACATGAATGCTTAAGATCTATGCACATATTGATAAGAAAATAAAACATGAAGTGTTGGTGTAGCATAAATAAACTTTTATTGCGCTTTTTTTTAGCATGTTCTCTGCAGCATAAGGCATTGTATTCGATATTCAACATTCCAACAATCGAATCTAGATCTACTACCTTGTTGGTTCATAAGACTTTACTTGACAAAAAATGGAATAGTGGTATCCAAGAAGATTTGATGGAGGTAAAAATCAATATGATTGGCCAGCAAAAAGGTTGAATTCTCTAAGATATTCTTGATTACCCAAATCAAAAATTTGAATTTTATTAATTTTCGGACGCAAATCTCTACATTTTGGTCCTTCTTCAATGACATTTTCTTTTCCACTGACAAATTGTTTTCTTGACAAACGACATTTTATTTCTGGGCAACGACATTTTTTTTAAAGAGCTTTATTTGTTGCACGTATCAGTGTGCTCAACAATTGATGTAAAATAATAGAAAATGTAATTGTAGTATAGGGCTTATCCGTCATCGAAGTTTTCCTCAGCATGGCAACGGAGGATTGCTAGCTAGACGGAACGAAAAGTGGTCAAAGGGGAGAAAGGTTGATCGTTATGGATATGGGACCAATGAACCTTCCACACTTCAAAAAGAGCAACAGTGAGCAACTTTGAGGGTGGAAGTGAGCAGGAAGGCAAGACTTGTATGAAGCTAAAGTCCAAGCAGGTGAGGACACTGAAGATCTGGTCAATGGTAAACTCAGGCCATAAAAATTCACGAATGATGTGGTCCCAGAATATAAATTTGCTTAGGCAACGAAAGAAAAAGTAGTAGATGTCTTCAAATTCACCGCAGAGGCAGCAGGAAGGAGAAGGGTGACGATCCGGTATAATTCGGGCAAGAAATTTTCTTGTAGGAATCAGACAATGCAGCAACCTATAGGCAACGCTTCGCTGCACAGTTGTTAAAGCCATGCTCCAAAAGCGAGACCAGGCAGCCTTGAAATACACTTGGTGTTGTTGAATGGAGACGATGGTTTGTCTACTGACTTGTGCACGGAAAGCTCTGCAAGAGGTGGCAAGGTTATTCAGTATAAGGTCATCTTGAGGCAGAATCAGTCGTCGACGGAAGGCGTTAAAGCCAACAGACCGTTGAATGGCCAGCACATGTTTTGGACTATACAAGTTTAGCGATGTAGGTTTCGTACATTGGATGAACACAGGATCTAAAGAGCATTTTCCAGATTGGATTGCGTTAAGAAAACGACGAATTGATATGAGAGAGAATTATGAATTTTGAAACGCTCGTTTTTCAGGCTGGTAGTGACCAACCAGATGGTAGTCATAGGTGTCTGAAACAGAAGCTCAGAGCAGCGGCCGATGCGGTGTATAAACGCAAGCGGCATCAATTACAGCATTTAAAGGCAATAGCATGACATCCAAAGGGCAAAGAGTATAGTTAAACTGTCGCTTGGGGATTGAGTCGACCGTATGGCAAACTAAGGTGATAGTCGAAACCATTTTGCCACCGGTGCCTGACTGAGTACGCAGAAAAAGAAGGCACATCAGGACATTGTCCGACTGAAACTGGTTGGCAGAGTGTACAAGAAGGAACTGTTGAACCATAGAGCAATTAGGCCACTCAAAAAGCAGAGGATCAATCCATTGGTAGAAGAGGGCATTTTGCTGAAGTGATGGGTCAAGTATTCCAAGGCCTCTCAGGCGTTTGTTGGTAATCATTGTATTCCATTTGATTTTGGGAAAGATATGATGAGTGACAAAACCAGAGACAGTTGATTGGATGGATGCTAAAACTTTCTTGGGAAAGGGAGTGACACGCATGACATGCCGGCACTTAGACTGGATGAGAGAGTTAGCAACGGTGACACGACCAAGGACAGACAGATTGCGCGTAGCGTGTAGTTCAGTCAGGCGTCGGAGAGATGCAAGAAAAGCAGATACAAAAATGGTTTTTTGGACTGGTGGCTGTGTTAGAGGGAAGCCCAGGTAAATAAGATGGTCTCGATCAATGCGATTCCAGACTTTAGTAATACTAGGATCGACAAGAATTGGTAACCAATAGTCATCAAGATTGAAGCCGGAAAAAGAAAATGCATGAACTTTGCTGAAATTGGTCTTCGCATTTGAAGCGGCACAGTACAGCGACAAGTGATGTTGTAGGCGTGAGAGATCAGCTTGATCTTGAAGATACACAAGCATATTGTCAGCATAGCTGAGATGCTTGACAGCAGAAAGAGCGGCATCAACGAGATAATGCTTGACAAAAGAATAGCCTTTGTAGGAAAAGTCCTGTAGGAGAGAGAGAAACAGAGGTTCAAGTGCAAAGTTGTATAGGATGTACGATATAGGATCACCTTGTTTCAAACCGTGAAGTTTTGCTACCAACCTTGAAGATAAGTAATCATTCAAGTTGCTTTGAATGGAATTTTCACTAAAAAGGGAGTACAAGGACCTGACTAGTTGGTTGGAAAAATTTAAATGAAGTGATACAAGTCGCAAGTAATCCAAATTAACCCTGTCGTAAGCTTTTTCCTGATCCAAAAGCATTCCAATCGCATGTGGTGCAGCTTGCGAGTTTTGAGAGGCATTTTTCATAATCATTTGAGCTAGAAGCCCATGTTCAGCGATAAAGCGATTAGATAAAAAGCCGAGCTGAAAATGATTGATTGTATGAGAAGCCTTATCCATGATGCGTTTTTTAATCAAACGGATGAAGATTTTGTTATCCGTGTTAACTAATTGGATTGAGCGGTAATTTTGTGCTTGAGACAAGTCCCCTTTCTTCGGTAGTAAGGTCATAATAGACAATAACCAGAACTAGGAAACAGAGATTGGATCAAGGCTTCATTATACAGGCGAATTACAATAGGACGTAAGGAAGGAACTCTTATCAAAATCCCTAGTACTTCGTAAGGCAGTCCATCAGAGCTCGGGCTACTTTCCCTTGGAGAGTGACGGCTCACGTCAGATATTTCCTCCTAGGTGAAAGGTTGCATCATACTGTTGGCCTACTCTTTACTAATGCGAATATTTCCAAGGCTAGATAAAAGCTGGTCAAGTGCATCTTGATCCATTGGATCTGGTGTGTATAACTGGTCGTAGAATTCAGCCATTGTGGACATTTTATCTTCATTGCTTGTGACCATTTGTTGTTTTGCCGGGTCATATAACGCTGGGATGACACGTTGCATAGAGCACTCGGTAGAAAGACGCTTGAGCAAGCCTGAAGGACGCTCGCTATGTTCTCTCCAAAATTTACCTGCTTTCAATGCATTGACTCTAGCAATATCGTCCTGAATGACACCAATCATTTACTCAACAGATAGCAAAAGTGAGGAAAGAATAACTATGTTCTTGTAGTTTCGCAGAGTTCGCTTCCATTTCGACTGATATCTTTTTAAGATTTTTTTGCGCCATTGGTTGGTTTCAAGTTGATAGGCTCTGGTGTATGACTTGACCTCCAGTTTCAGCATATCTCAAATCGATTGAACTGACTGTGTAGACTCAGCAGCTAGTAGATTTTGTGAAGTGAGTACATATTCAATATGTTTGGTGAGTCCCTCTCGGAAAGAAATGACCTTAGCCAAATAAGGATCAGCTTTCCAAATACCATGTCTACCGGATTCTAATGCTGAACGGAATGATGAACATAAGAGATCATGGCCAGTCCAATCAGAGGAAATAAATAGTTGTGAGGTGGATTTGACTGAATGGCGATGTTGTGCAGAACAAAAGATGAAATCAATTGTGGTTCGCTCTTGTGCATGACGTGAAAAGATTGGTCTGGGTTCATCTAGTGGACATCCAAAAGTTCAAGCCAAATATCGGAGATGGTTGAGTATCAGGATGCATCAAAGTTGAAATCGCCTAGTATAAATGTCGGTAGTGAGCAAAGTTTGAGATGAGACATAAGCTCTTGATCATTGACGAGTTGTCGGTAAAATACTCGACGTTGGACTGATCTGGCCGGCCCATAAATATTTATGATACTTAAAAGAGGAGTAGAAGGATCCACTAGAGAAAGAACTGACGCACAAATATATCGTCCTTCTTCATGTACTGGTGTAGAATGCGCTGTAATTTGAAGATGGGGGTGAAGAGAGACAATCCCGCAATAGGTTGTTCAAAGACTAGATTTGGTATTAAACAGCATGTTGAATTCGTTTTGTGTAGTAGTGTCGATGGCATGTGTTTCTTGTAGGCATAGCATATCGATTTCTAAAGAGCGTAAATAACGAATAAAGGAACGTGATGAGGATAGGCTGCATGTTTTCCGCAGACCGCGACAATTTAATGTCGTAGTACTAATGGTTGATTTGACCATGGTATATGTTACAGATGGCGAGAAGTAGGGCACGGATTATCTCCAGAAGCGCCTGAATCTGTCTGTTTAGGGGTGTCATCATGTGTTATTTTCATTTTCTTGGTATCCGAGACCTGATGAGTGCTAACTCTGTCAACAACCTCTTCCATAATTGAGTCCCTATCCTTAGGTCCACTATTCTCATTTGTACCATCCCTGGAGGAGTCTGGAGCATCAGGTAACTCTTCATCGAGATGCTCCGAGAGATCGCTCTGTATCCTCTTTTCTAAATCGAATAATGCCTGGGTCTTCTTTTCTGTTAGGCGACGTTCTTTTTCTTCTCGAGCCTGCTGTTGCTGGCGCAATTTTTCTGCTCGTGCAGCTGCCTTAACTGCAGCTTCTTTTTCCAATTGAGCTTTGGTCACTACGACCCGTTTATTGGCGGGAAGGTTAGGTCCGTGCCCACGGCGGGACAATTCTTGCTGATATGCCCCAACTCATTGCAATTGTAACATTGCTTTGATTTATACACTTCGGAGCAGTCGGCACGACAATGATCCTCTTTTTGGCGGGATAAAGAATTGGAGTTGCTGTAAATTGTGTGGTCTATAGTAGAAAATATAGGAATAGGTGTGTAATGAGCATCAGGTTTATAATTGTCCAACTCTTAAATAAATATTGATAATGTTCCAATATTAGATAAAGGATAATGTTCAATATTCAACTTATAATGATAATGTTCACGATTGCTTATTTAATAGTGATAATGTTCAGTATAAGATTTGTAGGATTATAAAGATAATGTTCAAATATGGATTCGAAAATAAAAATAAAACAAAAATAAGATGTTAACAAGTATGTTTTGGGAAGGAAGCCCAAAGATAAAATAAAATTATTTAGTTAAAGTGGATGATCTTGATGTTGAATGATCTCCTCCTTTATTTCGGAAAAATAAGGGAGTATTTATAATAAAATTGTGCGTTTGTATTTTACAGCAAAAAAAATCGGGCTTTTGCTGAGAACTGGATGAAGAAGCAGTGATTGGACTTTGACATGGTGACAAGAGCTGTAGGTCTTTGCTTTCTGAGTCTGATGGTGCAAATAACGCAGCAACTCTGAGGCTAAAATATTGAGTAAACGTGCACTGATATCTCGCCATTTTTATAGTACGACTGCCACACAAACACATTCACCAGACACTAATGCCTCTGACGCACATCTTGAGTATATAATCTCATTGATAGCTCTATTTTTCGTCTTGCAGTGTTAAAAAGAAGATCAAGGGTTGTCAAATCGAGCTTTTTCATGACTAGTACCCTTTGGATCAGAGGCGATTTTGGCCAAGTTTTACAAGTCGCTTTTTTTTTTTTGTCCAAATCAGCCCTAAAGGTATCCTGCATTGGTCTGAGTCGACTACACACAAATTCGTAGCAATAAAAAATGGCTTGGTAGCACTAAAGCCTTGAGATCAAGATATCGATATATCGGGCGAAAGAAGAGCAGGTTCTCATCAATGTGTGGCTCTTAGATAGTTCCATAATATGATAAGCCCATGCGTGACAATTATCTCGAGCTCTTAACATCTTGCCTTCTTAAAATACGAAAAGCTTTTATATGAATCGATAATAAAAAAGGAGAGCAAATTTGGAAGGAATACGGATCTTGTTGAAGAAAAAACAGTCAGTTTGTTGCTGCTACACATATAGTTAAAAAAATCATTAATGTCCATTTAAAGGGCCTTCAAGGGTTCTGATGCTATTCAAATTTAGAAGTACAAGTTAAAAAAAAACTCCCTTTTGCAAAAGGTTGCACAATCGTGTAATATGCACTAACTTCTTGTAGAAATCCTGAAGATACCTTTACATCAGAACAACTGTTTACCCATTCATTTTTTTTTCAATCTTATTTTTCTTTAAAAGTATAGCATAGGGTAATTGAATATATAGAAATAGAGATCGAAAAAAGATTACCTGCTGTTCCTGTGAAATAACTCAGCATTTATTATGATCTATACAAACTTGTTTGTGGATAACTAGCATGATGGCGATGATAATAGGCATCTGGCTGATAATAGTATGGAGGATACTGATAATAGCCATCATACATGTTCTGTTGATAATAATAAGGGTGCCCATAATGCATCATAGCATCAGTAGCAGCATTAACAAGAGGATAGACAAACTGATTTCTCACATTATCGCGTAAGAAATGATACTGTTCTTGTTGCGGATATCTACCAGGCAATGATAAAGATCGTTGTCTTCTATAGTTTCCTTGATGGATTAAAGAGGATAGACTTCTTTGCCGATGTAAATCATGATGAAATAGTTTGGCTTGATCTTGCATGTATTGTCTTTGTTGCTGACTTTTGTTCCAAAAAGATGGATTCTCTGAATTGGATTTTGAAAGACCCGAAAGCCAATTCCTTACATGATGGTTCCTTTGTTGTTGCCAATTGGGTTCATCCTGTTCTTTATGGTTCTTGTACAAGTAGTGTTTGATATGATTCAACATGATATTTAAGATAAAAAAAAGAAAGAGAAAAGCTAATTTATGATATCACAAAGATGTGCACTGTTCATCATTTTATGGTAGGACAACCTTAAATCAAATGATATGCGTCATGATAAAGAACTAAATCTCTAGTAAAAGTCTAGAAGATACTTAAGAAGCAAGGGCAAATTAAGGTGCGCCACGAGTCATAAATTGCTGCATACAAATTAGCTCAAAGTCAATGAGTCCAAATTGTGTGCTATTATAATGATGAGGTGGTGAGCAACAAAGATACTACTGCACATATTCATGTGCTCAGCTTTTGAGTAAATCTTTCCCTTTTTGGAGTAAAAGTCCATACAGAAGCCATCAAAGTTAAATACCAATATACCTTTTGTAAAGCCTAGAATAAATATTTGATTTCTATGACGTTTTCTGCTATTTCCGATTCCTATCTGTGTTCCGATATGTTGGGTTTTGGCAGAACATCATCTTGTACCAGAAACTACTTTTTGTTTAGAGCACTCACATTTGTTAAAGGATTTCCATTACTATACAAGGACTTCAGATAGTAAGATTGGTTTAGGTGAACCATTGAATGTTACTATAGAACTTTTTACATCTAATGGGACAGCTCAGCATGGTTGACATATGATTATTTGGTTAGATGACGACCATGTCAGGACGGATATTCGATACTTGCTCGTTTTTTTTTTCAGGGCAAGATGCCGTTCTTTTGAGGGCTGGATAAGGCAAGTATCAGCAGGGAATCAATCTATGCGATTGCAGTTGTCCAACGGAATTTATGTCAAGAAAGTGACTGGTAGAAATGAGAAAGAGATGACATGGTTTCAAGCTTGCTTGTTACAATCAGGAATAAAAAAAAAGCCCTTTATCACATAGAATAGTCGATATATATATATATATATATATATATATATACTTGCTGGATTTTTGATGTGCTATAAGAATGCGAAAGTATTTTATCATCATATCTAAACGTATTATTACTTAAAATAAGCAATCACAACACGTAATATACAGGAACAGGTTTATGCTAAGTAGCCTGTATGACAGACATCAGAATAAAGAACATCTCAGAACAATTACAAGCAGCGTCACTTGAATCCCATACATGGTATCATTGTGGCACTGACTATAAATTTGAAAGGTGCATTGCTATATCTGAATGGAAGGATTGACTTTATTCAACTCTATTTAAATCCTTTATTATCAGTTGGCATTAACTATTATCAACCTGTAATGAGTAATTTATTCATAGGAATAGCAGCTGTTTCAAAAAGTTATTTCTTATCAAAGTACACTAAATGCCATGTGTTTACGAATTATAAATATAGATTAAAAAGGCGTTCTTTTAAAGACCCTTTTATTTCAATTCAGAATGTCTCTTGAAACGTCCTAAACACAGGTCTACACAACAAATGGTTTATTGTCAATTAGTACATAGAAACGGGCTCTTTTTCTTTTTTTGTATAATAAGATGTAGGCAGTTAGAAGTCAAGTTATATCTTACCATAGTATTCACTATATCATCCTTAAAGCACTTTTTTTCTATACCTTAGCATATAGGTTATTTTACATCAATACAAGCATTATCTCTTCATCATAAGACAATTACTTGAATCTGATCCATCAAATCAAGTTCCATGACGAGAGTATTGGTTGTCACTTTCAACAAAGTGCTTCACCTTTTGTTGAAAGGAACTGTCTGGCAAGGAACGAAAAGTGATACTAACTGGGAAGAGGGGGAACTACAGATATATGTTTGTTCTCTAATATTCATCAAATGGACAAGCAATTCTACAATTATATTGGGTATTGAGCATGGTCTACTTGTTCTTCAATACAGATAATGACAAATAATGACAAATAGTCAATTTAATGGCTTTGTTTCATATTCTTACAAATACTGATATGAATATCGAAACAGAAAACTTGCAATGGTCAATCAAATGTGATAAGTCAATCACCATACAAATTTAAGAAAAAAAATTTTTTTTAAAGAGAAACGCACAGGAAGACTAACGCTAAATTCACACATACATACATACATATATATATATATACCCATGTACTTTACTCTTGAGTTCATTTTTTTCTCTATCCCCTTTCTTAAGATAAAAGGGCATATTCATGACAAAATGCTTTATAAAAGCAATTGAAGTTGACAGAGACCAACAGCTTGTTTTGGAAACAGTAGGATAAATTTCTAATCTCCATGACGTTTTCTACTTTTCCGATTCCCGTCTATATTCCGATAGGGTTACACTTTAGCAGAAAATCATTTTCTTGAAGCAGAAACTCATTTGCTTATAGGACTCTGAATTTTGTTGCTTCATTCATTTCTTCAATTTATTCTATCCTCAAAGGCATTTTTATTCATTGAACAGGTTATTAGCGTGTTTCTAAATATTCAAGGAGAATGTTATTTTTAGTAAAAAGAGAAAAAAAAATACTTCTTTTGATGCTATAGTAGACGAGGTGCTTTTCTTGAATTTTAAAAGTTCGACATCAACATTAAAAAAGAAATTATCTACTCCTTACTATACAAAGTAATTATCAATAAAATGATCAAAGGGAATTGTAATTATTCGCATGCATTTCTACTCTTTAGAAGAAAAAAAAAAAGATCGACTGATACGGTCTTAGATTAAAATCTCACATTGGTTTGTTTCGACCGAAAAAAGAAAAAAAAAGACGTTCAGAAACCGATATATACATACTTACAAATTAAACTTTTATTTTCTCTTTCCTTCTTTCTCTCTTTTTTTTTTTATCCAAACCTATTGAGCAACACAAAATAAAAAGGGAAGGAAAGTCTGTAGATCTTATAAACATGATGATTAATCGCTTAAAACTCAGATAGTTTTTCCGCTATATATTTCGAACCATTTTTTTTTAATTCCTTCTCCTCTTCTCCTTTTTTTTTCTCTATAACCATGTCTCAACTACAAACAAGCAAACCAAGCTTACCGTCAATTCAGTTTCTCTTACAAGAAGCACCCAGTAAGCTCTAAAAATGACATCTATAGACATGTATATTAACCTCAAGAAAAGGTCCACAACAACCCTCTATACAGAAAAAACACTTGGGCCACAGAGCTTCTCGAAGTGTGAGTAGTCTTCCTCTCGACCTTCAGAGCTTATCGCTTCAGCCTATTGAGGAAAAGAACGATCACCCTGTTTATCCCGAAGCATATCGGCCTACACCTTATGGTGGTATACCCTTCCCTGCTAAAGAAAAACCACCAAGTTGGGTGCTAGCAAATCATGAGCGAGTATCAAATTTGACTAGCACACCCCCTTTAAATACACAAAATAGAAGACGATCTGGGTTCCACGGAAGATCTGTTTCTGAATTTACATTGCCTCCTTTAGCCAGCACTACTTTATCACCACATAGACAAACAACAAACCATCATCATCGGCGAGCAGTGTCTGCCAACACACTCGATTTTATGTCCAATCCTTCACCTCATATGCCCATTCGTGCACACTCCAACAGTCCTGAAGAATCACATTCAAATCTAGTGACATCCAGTACGGCCCATTTGGATTTCTTTGATCAGCTTGGCATGAAGAACAAGACAAAGAATATGACTAGCACACCAATGCCTTCATCTGATACTGCAGGTCGTTATACTTGTCCTTACTGCCACAAGAAATTTTCAAGACCTTCTTCATTACGTATTCATACTTATTCACATACAGGAGAGAAACCCTTTGTTTGTACAGAACCTGGATGTGGTAGACATTTTAGTGTACAGAGTAACATGCGTCGCCATTTGCGTGTCCATCGTTTAGGACGATCTGTAAATAATAACCTCAAGACAACCACTGAAGAATAAATCTATTTTCTTATTGGCTTATTTTAGCATTGTAAAGCTTAAACGATTTAAACCATGGGTTTCTTTTCATTTTCACAGAAAGTTTTAGGTTTTTTTTTTCATTCCCGCTTTCTTATTTATTATTTTTTATTATTTTTTTTTTTTTTTTTAGTTTCTTTATCTCTTTTTCTTTTTTTCTCTTAAAAATGGATGACACACAACACCCACTTGTGATATCGACACCACCTTTACGTGGTCCCGTAGATTCTCCTGCTCCAGCAGAAGCAGGCGATATGGCCACCGATTTAAAACCGCATAGAGGAAGCATGTCGCTTGCCACTACGCAATTTGAACAACAGCCAATAGACAGTAAGGCATTACGCGGAAGATCCAAATCAATTGCCTTTGGTACACATGCATGGAATCCTCGCCCACCCATGGACTATATATCACCTGTCACTACCTCAGGTGTTCCTTACAAAGCTAGGTCTTGGGAACCTACGCTTGAAAAAGCGATTCGTGCGATTGTCTCTATCAAAGCAAGTCATGTTCGAAGTTTTGATACAGAAACATCAGGTAGGATTTCGTTTCTTATGCATGCATATGCTTAGATTATATGTAGGTGGCTATACGGCTACAGGGTTTATTGTGGATGCTAAGCGTGGTATTATTTTAACCAATCGTCATGTCGTTTCACCTGCGCCCATTGTTGCTCAAGCTGTCTTGACAAACTATGAAGAAGTCGACCTTAAGCCTGTCTATCGTGATCCAGTGCATGATTTTGGTTTTATGCAGGTAACATATCTATCTTATCACGGCATTCATCTCTCTCATCACTTTTTTTTATGTAGTTTGACCCTAATCGCATTAAATTCATGGCGTTGGAGGAAATTAAACTTAGTCCAGAAAGAGCTAAAGTAGGTTTAGATATTCGTGTTGTCGGGTAAGTTTAAACATGTCATCATGAATCTCCGAAGTTTAATTTTTTTTTTTTTTGTATTTAGCAATGATGCAGGTGAAAAATTAAGTATTTTAGCTGGTACGTTAGCAAGATTGGACAGAAGAGCACCCGAATATGGTGTAGGCGAATACAATGATTTCAATACATTCTATCTTCAAGCTGCCTCGGGTACCAGTGGGGGTTCTTCAGGCAGTCCTGTTTTGGACATTGATGGTCATGCTGTTGCATTAAATGCAGGCGGAGCAAGTCGTGCTTCGTCCTCTTACTATCTACCTCTGGACCGTGTTCAACGTGCCCTCAAGTACATTCAACATGGCCAACAAGTCCCTCGTGGTACACTTCAGACTGAATTTGAGTATTTGCCCTATAACGAAGTCCGTCGGCTAGGTCTCAAGGCTTCGATTGAAGAAAAAGTACGCACTAAATTCCCTGAAGAGACAGGCATGCTTGTCGTGCGTTCATTATTGCCTAAAGGTCCTGCTGACAATGTCCTGGTTCCAGGTGATATCATCATTGGCTGCAATGGTAAGATGGTGCCTCATTTTATTGCCTTGTTTGAAATCTTGGATGATGCTGTTGGACAACCTGTCTCTTTAACGATTAGTCGAGGTAAGAAGGTGCAAGAAGTCAAGGTGACTGTTCAGGATTTGCATTCAATTACCCCCAATCGATTTGTTGAAATTGGTGGTGGCGTCGTGCATGAATTATCCTATCAACTGGCCAAATCGTATTCTCAACCTACAGGCGGTGTCTATGTGGCTACTTCGGGCCATATGTTAGCGAGTGCAAGTGCTTGGCGCAAGAGTATTATTGTGAGTGTCAACAATATTCCTACACCTAATTTGGATGCTTTTATTGAAGCTATGAAGAGTTTGCCAGATGGTGCACGTGTACCTATTAGGTAAGTCAAGCCTTGTCTTCTATAGTGCATCCTGTTCATATCAAACACTAGATTCTATGCACTTCATAAAGCTTATAAAGATAAGGTGATGATTATGCATGTCGATAGACATTGGCATCAATTCAGAACAGCTGTACGCAATGGTAAGATACACGTCTTTCATCAAACCCACTCACACACAAAGTCTAGACTTGACAGGTCTATGGGAATTTAGTGACATGCCACCCCCACCTCAGACCATTCCCTATACGCCTTCTTCAGCCAGTTTCCCTCGCTTGGACCCTTCCTTAACACTAGCAGAAAAACTCATGCCTTCCTTTGTGGCCATTGACTTTTATCTTCCTTATCTTGTAGACGGCATGAAAGCCACTCAGTTCTACGGCACAGGTTTCATTGTGTCCACAAACCCACCTTTGATCGTCTGTGACCGTGACACGATTCCTATTGGCCTAGGTGATATCTTTATCACCTTTGCCAATTCCATCATCATTCCCGGTCGATTACTTTTCCTGCATCCTTTCTATAATTATGTCATTTTGACGTATGATCCCACGTTGATTGGTGATACGCCCGTCAAGCCAATCGAGTTTAGTGGCAAAGAACTCAACCAAGGCGATGAAATCAACTTTATTGGTGTAGGCAGTGATCACTCGGTTGTCAGCAAAAAGACCACGGTCTCTTCTGTCTCTAATATTGGTACGCGTGAATGTTCTCCTCCTCGTTGGCGTGCCATGAATGTCGAAGGTATCAAGATTGATGACTCTTCTACTTCCCAAGGTGGGTTAATGACAGACGATGAAGGCTTGGTTCATGCACTCTATGTCAGTTATTCTTCACAGAACGAAAAGGGCAAAGATATTTCATTCATGTCAGGTCTCTCGGGTACTTTGGTAAAGCCTACCATCGATCAATTCATAGAGCATGGCGATAAGATGACATTAAAGGGTCTTGATGTTGAATTATGGACTATGCGTATTGCTGCTGCTCGTACCTTGGGTCTAAGTGATACATGGGTCAAGAAAATTGAAGAGAGTAGTTCTACACGACACACATTGCTTTATGTGCTGAATGTGTTGGATGAACGCAGTCCTTGTGCCAAAGTATTGAATGTAGGGGATGTGATCTTGAGTCTAGATGGTCAATTGGTGACACGTATGTCTCATTTAATGCTTGTACATCAACAAGATACTGTCGATATGGTCATTTTACGTGATGGTAAAGAACTCAATGTCACTGTGCCTATGAGTGAATTCAGTGGTTATGAAACAACGCGTGTGATTGGCTGGCAAGGTGCATTGATTCAGCGTCCTTATAAATCGGTATTAGAACAAGTACGTAATGTGCCTGTCGGTGTCTATGTGTCCTGTACACTGTACGGTTCACCTGCTTCAAATGTCCTTCGACCGGGTGTATGGATTGTGGAAGTTCAAGGTAAACCTGTCAAGGATCTCGATTCATTTTTGCAGGTCGTTCATGATCACGAAGCAGAAATGAGTCGTCGTCGTAGACCAAGTTATATTCCTCCTGCTCAACAGACTATTGTGCCTGATCAGAGTGATGATGAAGAAGATGACGATAATGATGAAGGTTATATTCGTATCAAGACCGTCAGTCGAAATGAAACAGTACGTGTTGTGGCTGTTAAACTCGATCTACATTACTGGGACTCTTGGCAGCTTGTACGTGATCAAGAGTCTGTGTCTGGTTGGCGTGCTCATGATGCTTAAAGAAAAAAATTTTTTTTTTTATATATATATAATACACAATTCAAAGTTTAAATAACTTGTACTACAGATGTCCATCCTTCTCTTCTGGTATTTTTCTTTGCCCATCTATATGACCATGTTAATCACAATACAAATGAGAGTAGAGTATACTTACAGTTCAATGAGTTTGCCACCATGAGGATTTGTTTCTGCATTATAAACAGCATTTGGAAGTAAGGTTTCAATGACTTTGTACATAAAAGGTGGTTTCTTTTCAGTGACTTGATCTAGATGCAAAATTTAATAAGCTTTGATTGCATAGACTGTATGGCTTACCAGGTAAATGAGGTCGAATGAAATCAAAGACACAATCAGGATTACGTTGATGGCGTAATTCAATCTCGCCTTCTTTTCTAAAGATCAGTAAACTCAATTTACTCTTATTAAAATAAGTATATGGACTGGTAGCAATTTGGTTATTAACGTTCTTTTTGATCCAACAGAAATTCTCGACATATTTAAATCCCCATTTTGTGATGATATTTACTGCTTTCTGAAGCCATTCTTTTTCCAGCCAAATAAATATAAACCCTGCTTTCACGATATTGGATACACCCAATTGGGCCTATCAGATAGGTTAAACAAAGAAAAGGTGTCAATGTACTCTACTCACAAAATCGTCAATGGATATCTTGCCTGGACTTGGTTCTTCTCCAGGTAATAAAAAGGGTGGATCAATATAGACTGCACTAAAATCATTACCATACTGTGTCAGATCAGTAGACAATAGATGGCTCACTTCATGATAATTCGATCCTTTAGGTACTGTAGGCACAGACAATGGTCTGATAGAATTAGCCCATGACATTGAAATAGGCCGAGCTGGAATTCTGACATAAGTGGGCAATGAAGGATCGACATTGCTGACTTTCTTTTTGATAGTAAAGTAATTGCCATGTCTGTCTTGTACCTGAACTTGCATGAATTTATACTTGGCAATGATACTTTCACGGTCCATATTGCCAGTACGTCTGGTTTGACCGGGTTGTTTGGGTTCTCTTTTCCTGTTTCTTTTGTTGTTTAATGTCTCTGAAAACTCGTCTTCCCAAAAACTATCGTCTACATAGTAATATTCACTAAAATATGAATAAGTGAATCATGACTGGCCATAAAGATACGTTACTCTTCTTCCACAATCTCATTGGTACTGTTATCATTATGTTCAATTTGCCAAAGATCTAATGCATCTAAATCCAAGACTTGACTTGTATCAATAGTGGCACTCTTGACTGTAAATGCTGAGGTACGTTTAAACACTTCTTCTAACTGTTCCTGAGTCAGTTCGTTCTCTATCATGACTTCGTCTGGTGTCTTGTTTTCTTCTATTTCTTCTGGAACTGGTGTTTGTTCAACTTGTAATGAAGAGAATTCTTTTTGAATACGTTCCAACTCTTCAAACTTTTTCATAATAGCCTCGACTGATTCGTCATCTTCCACATAGCCTACATAATGAGCATTACTGCCGTTATGTCAGTTTCGATAGTACTTTTTCTTCTTCTCTTACCTCACTCTGGTTCTTGGTGTTGCTTGTCTTCTCTTTCGTTTAGGACGGTCACTCATCGTGTAAAGAAACAAAAAACGCGTCCTGAAAAAAAGAATTTTTATTTCTTTTTCTTTAAACTCAGCAAGTACGCGACTTGAACGCGTAAATCAATAGAGAAGCATATCGCTTTAAAGTTTGAAAAAAAAATGCGAAACAGTATAAATTTCATTTCAACAGGACTATCCTCACAAATTCAAAACATTTGATGAAAAAGTTTATCTAGAACCGTTGCTTTTTCTTGCTAGGAAAAGCAACAATAGACTTCACAAGCCTAGACAAATGCAAAGAGGGAGAGTCTATCTTTTTTTACTTTTTAATTGAAGTAGTCGCTTCATGTATTAAGGTTTATCCAATGTATTAGTAAATGTGCTATTTTAAAATATGTGTATATAAGTACCTTGATCCAAAAGAAGGAAAGGACAGTATCAGAAAAGATGCCCAGATCTGCCTTGCCTCTAAGGAGCGGGAACTCCTCAAGCTCCACGAAGGTGTAGAGGCTATGAGAGCCAAGCTCGGCAACAAAGGATGTCACCATGATACCATCCATTAAGAGACCGTCTACCGGAAGACCGAAACATTTGGGAGAGCAGACTCCGTAATAATAAAAAAAGCTTTGAGCGGTCGCTCAAGGGCTGAGTTACCACAGCGCAGGATTTCTTGACTTCTACACACAATAGCTCAGGATTTTTTGTCCTCAAGAGGATAAAAAGCAAAAAAAAAAAAAAAAAAAAAAAAAAAAAAATCAAGCTTTGCTGTGCTAATATTCTTGCCGCCTGTTGATATTGATGCTGATATTGCTACTGCTGCTGACTTACTGTTAGAAAGATCATCGTCATAAACAATGTGACCGTATGATCTGGTGATATCGTATTTCTTGTCTTGTAAGAAGATGTACTCAAGGAAAGGATACAGACGTTGGTCAATGAAGACCTTCTCTGTGCCGCAGTCCTTTCTCAAATTCTTCGGCTTGTCAAGCGTGATAAGCAAGATTTCTGCCAAGGCTGCTTCTTCTTTTCTTTTGACTTCTTTGTTGCTTTGTTCATTTGATACAGCAGAAAATTTACACCATTTTCTTCTTTCAACTCCCACACCTTGTTGACCCTTGAGAGCTTGAGTAAACCCTTAAGAAATACTTCATTTACTCCAAGAAGCGGCCAATTTTATTGGAAAAAATAAAATAAAATAATGAAAAAATAGTTTATGTTTTATCAATCAACCACATTTGAAACACTAAACAGGCTTTTTATATGATTACCTTTTATGTTGACGCTGCGTATCCGAGCTTGCCAGGAAAGGCTGGCATATGTTGCCTTTTCCCAAGGAGCATCCAATGCAGTCTCATCTATGCCTCAAAGAAACCCATTTTTATTCCAAGAAACTGACGCTCTGTAAGCTTCACATATTAAGAAAGCTAACTAAGCTTCCTTGCTCCCAAACCACCAATGACTGCCAGGAAAAAAAAAACGGCACTTTTGTCCATTTCAGATACATAAACGAAAAGGGACAAAGGTACTTTTTTGTTGTCAGATACAGCCTTGTAGTTTACATCTGTACCAGTAGACTCTACCTTGATCAAATAGTATTTCTTGCTGTCATAATGACTTCAACAGTACGAGAGGAAACACCAGCCAAGGCTTGATTCCTTTGAGTAAATAGCATACATCTTACAAAACTTTTGATTTTTTTTTTTTGCGTTTTGATTGATGTTAGCTTATAATTTGTAAGTTGAAAGAAGTGAAAGAGCAATGTTCAATGTATCTCAGTCACTTTTTCTTGTATTAAATTTCAGAAATGAAATATAAAGTTTCTTTTCTTTTTTTCCCCTTTGCATGAAAAGTATCAAGAAATTAGAACAAGTTGTGATAGATCGAATTGCTGCCGGAGAAGTACTATGACTAGTTACTTACATTGAATAAACTTATACCTGTTAGATCTTGCATCGTCCTTGTAATGCTGTGAAAGAACTTATGGAGAATAGTTTGGATGCAAAAGCAACCAATATTCACATGAATGTCATCTCTGGTGGTTTTGATCTAATCAAAGTCATTGACAATGGCCATGGAATTAAGGTAATTTGTGTGCGCACAATATAACTGACATTTACGTCTTTGAATAAGCTGGAAGATATGCCATTGGTTTGTGAGCGACATGCAACTAGCAAAATAGAACAATATCAAGACCTAAATAAACTGAACTCATTTGGGTTTCGTGGAGAAGCCCTCGCTAGCATTTCTCATGTAGCACATGTAACTATTACATCAAAGCATATAAACAGTGAATATGGTTATCAGTAAGTAAAATTGACAAGAACGATGGCTTATAGAACTAGAGGCGTTTACCAAGATGGAAAACTAGTATCAGAGCCTAAATTATGTGCAGCCAAACAGGGTACTATTATTATAGTATGTTCTACTAGATTGATAGGTTTATGAGCTCATACAAGCATAGATTCAACACTTGTTTAGTAATGTACCATTACGTAAAAAAACATTGAAAAATCCTCATGAAGAATTTAATGCTATCTTGGATTGTGTTCAGAAATACGCTTTACATAATACACATGTATCCTTTAGCTTATATAACAAGGTGAGCCTCATTTGCATACATTTGAATAACAAATAGAGTAAAAAACATAGGATACACTCTCTATCAAGACGCACGGAAGCTCTCTATCGATTCAAAACCGTGGTACACTATTACATCGAATTCAACACTTGTATGGTCATGAAGCCTCTATGAATCTAAAGCACATAAACCATCAACAAGATAAATGGAGTATCAGCTTGTATTTCACTGACATCACTAAGAAAGGCCGATATCCTATGAAGTCTACTATATTTGTCTTGTTTGTCAATAGAAAGTATTTTTTAGTCATGATTCACTATTAACAGGACATACTATAGATAGACTAGTAGAAAATGCAAAACTCAAAAGAGTAATGAACCAACTCTACACAGAAATGAACAAAGGCACTCCTACAACTACATTTACTTATATCAGTTTGACTGTTTATCCTAGACATATAGATGTCAATATACACCCAACTAAAAATGAGGTTTATTTACTTGATCAAGACATGATCATAGAAGTCATGAAAAGGATAGTACATGATTCATTTATTGATATTGCTCAAGTATTACCATCTATGGAAAAGATGAAGCAGACAAAGCCATTGCCGCCAAAAGCTACGATTGAGCATTATTTCAAACCAATACAGACCCATCGCACTAAAACAGCTTCTTGTTTATCTAGTAACAGTGATAGCAGCAATACTGATGCACCTGCCACTCCTCCTTTGACTTCGCATCCAAGACGTCCTTCTCTCAATGCAAGACTATCTTTTTTTTTTTCGATCATTTTTTATTAACATTATATCTAGGCACGAAACATCAAAGAACACTTTCAAAGTCTGACACCTGCTTACTTTAAAGATACCAAGCCTTTTTCATTTGCTTCACAAGAAATTAATGCCAGTTTGATCGTTTCGCCATCATCTAGTCATGTTCCTAGTACAACAGTAAAAACCAAATCTCAGCAAATGAGAATAGCCAACTATGTTCAAAAGCAACAGAAGAACAGAGTAGATCAGTCGTCAGTGGAGAAAGATTTGGATAGTGTCCAATTACTCAAGAAAGAAATAGATCAAGCTCAAGATAAAAGTAAGTTATAGAAATAGAGGTACATGTTCATTTCCCCATTTTTTTTTCTTAGAGCTTAGTCAATTAATTTCACATCATCAGTGTATATGTGTCATTGACCAAGTACTTTCTCTAGCTCGTTATAATAACAAGTATTATTTGCTTCAGTACCAAGTCTTGAGGTAATGTTTATAAAGACGAAGTATCACTTAAATCTACCTTAGTGAAGAATATATCTATCAATGTATTGTCTTTGGTTTTTCAAGGTTTGGAAAGCTAGTTCTATCTCCTCCTTTGTCTATCACTGAATACATTCAACTTGGTTTTATGGAAGATGCAGACACGAGTATTCTTTTATCAGAAAAAGAATTATTACTTGACTATTTCAGTACAGATATTGAACAAGACAATGGACAGATTTACTTGAAGAGTTTGCCTATGATCATAATGAATTATGTTCCCTCATTCTTGATCGAAAGAATACCTTTATTTGTATTCAATCTCATCACACAGGTATTTTTATACTCATGACCTAGTTGCTCACAATGACATGGTCAGATTGATTGGCAAGATGAAATTAGTTGTTTGGATGGCCTAGCCAAATTATTTGCCACATTGTATTACTGCACCACAAAAGAGGATTGGGAACTACTCATTCAATGCATGTATAAAAACCAAGAATTTAAAGCAAGCAAATATTTAGCAGAACAAGGTTACATTGTAGAGTTGGACATTCCAACTGAAATGACTTTATTTAAATAAACTATGGTTCAGCATGAACACGTTGATCAGCAGCTTCATGTTCAATATTGAGTTTTTCTGGCGTGTATTCTGCTACCATACGTTCCCATTCAGCTTTTTCTTCAGCCAATTGCTCGACACCATCTTCATCGGCATAGAACATAAAGTAAGCTGTGAAAGGCTTGTTGATCAAACGACCCTTTGTTGTACATTCTTCAGGTGCAGGGACAACACCGTCCAAAGAGCCAATACGGACAAGGTATTTGGCATGGGATAAATAGCCATTTGTAGAAGAATATCTTGAAGAGGTTAAGTGGTCATCCAAGTTTTGACTATCGCCACGTTCAGCACGGCCTTCTTCTTTGGTAGTGGTTGCAATGGGTCTTGATGTACCTACCCAAGAACCATCTCTGTAAGAATAAATGACAGGCACTGTATCTACTGGATTGGCTCTATTTAAATAAGGTGTTAAACTAAGATACATCTTGTTTATTCAAACTTACTCTTGAGCATCAGGGCTCAAAGGAGCAGCAGCAAGTTGGCCTACTAGATTATCAGGTCTATCAAAGGGAGTAGATTGACCTTGAGCTTGGTATAAAAATGCGTGGGTTTGCACATTGTACCAATGCAAAAATCCAGTTAATTCCGGATTACATTGATAGATACGGTTTCCTTTGGCGTACCAGACATCAAACAAGGTAGAATTAGCAGGAGCAGCAATGCGTTCCTTGACATCATTGACTGTGGGTGCTCTATAGTTTAAAGCAGGTATATTATCTGCTAAGATAACAGGTACAATGAGGGAGAGAATAGCTGGTGCGGTAATAGAGATCTTCATACTATACAGTGATAATAAAATATGAGAATAGATCTATTAAATATATATATATATACTTTTTTTTTCTCGAATTATTTACATTGTTTAACTGGAAGAATTTTAAGAACAAGCAAATAAATTATAAGCTTGAAAGAATGAGTTTGTTTATACTAGTGTTTTATGCATATGAAATTTTTGTTGATGCAAATAAATCAATGCTGTTGTGCCCTTTTTTTCAATAATTAGAGTCTATCAAAAGGAACTTATGTATTCATTGGGCTGAAATTAAACTTTAATTTTATCAGAAGCAAGTGGTCATTGTCATTTGTTTGTTTAATACAAATGGTGATTCGTTAGATAATAACAGGATGATACATGCAAAATAGTGCAATATTCAGTTAAATAAAGGATTTTTGCAAAGTGCTGGCTGAAAGAAATACATGATTTATAGTATTAAGTGTTGTGTTTACATGAAAAAAAGGGTGTTTACTATAAAAGAAAGAAAAAATCGTACGTAGTCTAGTGAACACCTTCAGAGGAATGTTTCATTTATTTTCTGAACCAAACATAATGAACAAGTAAAAAATTGAAGTTTATATACAAATATGGTCAGTCATACACTAAGCCTTCAATTCTGAAAAAGAGGATTATCAGAGACTGTTGTGATATAATCAAGTGAATAATTGAAGGTTATCTAAGTAAAATTGAATCAGTCCTGAAAGAAAATGCTTATTTTAGTTGATCCTGTACGCCAATGAATAAACAAAAAGTTACTTATTCACTCTTTAGTTCTTGTTTAGAATAAATCATAGGTAAGCAATGCCTCTAATACACAAAAAAAACATTACTGCTTTTAAATTGTCAGACAACAAGAGGGCGTCTTTTATTGAAGGCACAAAAGGATACGTGAAGTCATTCAAGAAACAACCCAACTCTTGAACATTTAAATCTCCGATACTCAACATTTCTGAACAATGTCGCGTCATGTTCATCTCTGTTACTAATCTCTTTTCTAATCCAATACCTCAGTTATCTTTAAAAAAAACAAGAACTGCTTCTATTAGCCACTAAAGAACAAGTCTTCTGTAAGGCAAATTGCTGACAGTCTTAAAATTCCTCATACAACTGTGCACAAAGTAATTAAATGTTCAGAGAACGCGGCACCTACGAGAGAGAAAAAAAAAGGCTCCGGAAGACCAAAGTTCTTGAGCGATAGAGACAAGAGACATCTTACAAGTATTTCGAAGCGTGATAGAGCCATCTCGCTTGAGCAACTTCGGCTCAATTGACTGTCAAATGCAACAACCAGCTGATCTCAAAGGAACTGCATGAGATGGGCTATAACAAAAGGGTAACAGCAAAAAAGTCCTTCCTGAGTGAAAAACACAAGGAAGAGAGAAGAAATTTTGCTGAAGAACACAAGCACTGGACAGTTGAGCAGCGGAGAAAGGTGGTTTGGACAGATGAGTCCAGCGTTAAAATCGAACGAGACCTGGAAGAAGGTTTGGAGAAAACCAAAGGAGAAGTTCTTGAAGGGCTGTCTCAAGCAATCCTTCAAAAACGTTAGAACCACTATTATGGTCTGGGGGGGCTATTAGCGGTGGAAAGAAGTCAAAGTTGGTCGTTATGTCCAACGATAAAAGAGCAATCAAAAATTATGTCGATCTTGTTTGTGATTCTGTTTTGCTTCCTTTTCTCCAAAGCATTCCAGATACTATGTTGTAAAATGGCACGCCTATCCATAGAGGTCGCCCAGCAAAGGCATGGAGAGAGCAACGTGGATCAGCCAGTTGAAGTGGCCAGCTCAATCGCCTGATCTGAATCCCACTGAGAATGTTTGGAACATTTCAAACGCTATTTCCATTGTCAATGATATAACAACAGACCGAAGTGCGTTCAAGAAACCTTGCTTCAACAAGCTTGGAGCAGTTTCAGTGTTGAAACAATCAACAAAATGATTGATGCCATGCCTGATCGCATTCAAAAGGTGATTGATGCACATGGAGGCTTTATCGGCTACTGACACTTTAATAAGAAAACAATTAAATACTATAAGCCTCTTTATTTGTCACCATTATGTATTATGAGTATTTGTCAATACAATATGTGAAAATGAGGGTGTATCCAATATGGCCATGTCGGAGATTAATTTGCATTATTATTCTTTCTCAAGCTCTAGAATAAACTTCAGCTCTTCTTCCACATCACTATGATCAATTGTCCCAATTTATCTGTTAGTCCTTATTTAATAGAGAAACAGTTTGACCAAAGGAAGTCTGATTGCTTGGGCTAACACCGGGACTCATTTGATCATCAGGGATAGATTGGTCAGCTGACTGGTTTGATTTTATGTTGTGAGTCGAAGAGAAATATTTTTCAAAACGGCGCTCTTTTGCCGAATTGCCTGGAAAAAAGGAACACAGGCTTTCTAAAGGCACACCAAGCTTGCATTCTGAATACTGGCTTTGTATATCCTTTGTAGCAAAGGAACAATGATAAAGAATAATTACACAATGGAGTATGTTATAATGCTTTTTATAGGTGCCTTTTGGCTGAGCATCAAGAAATTGTCTAAATGGATAAACAAAAACCTATGCAAATTTTAACAAATATCATTTTTGATATCTTCTCTTTTTGATCATTTTACAATATGTTACAAACATGAGTGGAGACTTGTGTCTTTTTCTCTTGAGCTTAATTCAATTAATTTTTCTTTTTTTGGTCAGTTTTCAATAATGCTGTAAAAAGAAGCTAAAGTTACTAAAGCTTGTGAAAGCATGAACAGGAAGACTTTCTTTTCATGATATTGTTCAATATTTTATCAATGACCTTCCGAAATACCTCAACAGAGATGCAATCTAATAAACAATTGCATTCAAAAAATGAAAATCCAAAATAAGTCTAGCAAAACGAATTTTTTTTAAAAAAAAAGCGAAGTTTTAGAAAAGCCCTTATTTAGTAATAATGTCGAGAAATAAAATAAAATTTATAACTTTTCTTTTTTTTTTTTCTTCTTTTCTTTTCTTTTCTCATTCATTAATCATGGTAAACGTATATTTTATGTCTTGCAAGATGACTCATTTTTCTTTCTTAAGAGTGACCAACTTACAGCTGAACAAATTGCAGAATACCGCGAAGCTTTTCAGCTTTTTGATGCTGATAAAAGTGGAAGCATTAGTGCTAGTGAACTTGGTGTTGTGCTTCGTTCGTTTGGTATGAATCCCAGTGATGCTGAATTGCAAGATATGGTAAAGAGAAACAGATAGTATGACGTATCTGATCTAATAATAAAAAATAAAGGTAAATGATGTGGATGCTGATGGCAATGGAACCATTGATTTTGAAGAATTTCTGGGTTTAGTCAAGAACTTACAATCAGAAAATGATACAGATGATTTACAAGAAGCTTTCAAGTAAGTAAGTTAGTGTATAGGTGTCTATGTTAATCACTCTATAGAGTGTTTGATGCAGATGGAAATGGTGTTATTGATCGTAGTGAATTACAAAAAGTCATGGCTTCTTTACATGAAAACTTAACTGAAGAAGAATTAGATGCTATGATCCAAGAAGCTGATATAGATGGTAACGGCACCATCAGTTTTGAAGAGTTTAAGGCTATGATGAGCGGTAAATAAATTTTGTGTATTTATGTTGTAAGATCTCTATTTCTTTCCTTTTTTTTTTTGTACCCTTGAATAAAAAAGAAAAAAAAAAGATATGACTAAAACTGTACAAGCGCCACTACCTAAAGTATTGACTATTGCTGGTAGTGACAGTGGAGGGTATGTCTTACTTTGGCCTTGAATAATAACTTATTTCTCTAGTGGTGCTGGTATCCAAGCAGATATCAAGACATTAACTTCACTTCACGTCTATGCAACTTCAGTCGTTACCTCTTTGACTTCACAAAATACATTGGGTGTGGATGATATCCATGATGTGCCTGCTGAATTTGTTCAGAAACAAATCATATCTGTATTAAAGGACATTGGCTCGGATGCTATCAAGATTGGTATGCTTTCTTCTTCTGCCATCATCAAATCTGTCGCAGACACACTCAAGGAGTTTCCTCAATATGCGCGTCAGATTGTTGTGGATCCAGTGATGATATCTACCAGTGGATCTCGTCTGTTAGCTGTAGATGCTCTTCATACACTTGTGAAGGAATTATTCCCTATCAGTTATGTGCTAACACCTAATGTACCTGAGGCAGAACTCTTGCTTGATCTTGCACCAGGATCCATTAAGTGTTTAAAAGACATGAGAGATGCTGCTCAGCAATTAACTCTATTCGGTCCCAAGTTTGTATTACTAAAAGGAGGACATTTACCACTCTCCAAAGACGGTAAAGAACAAGTGGTGGATGTGTTGTATGATGGCAAAAAAACAATGTGGTATGAAATCATCAATGATTATGTCGATACAAAAAACACGCATGGTACTGGGTGTACACTCTCTGCTGCTTTGGCTGGTGAGTTGGCTAAAGGCGAGAATGGTAAAGTTAAAAAACAAAAACAAATCAATTAGGCCTTTATGAATAACTCGAGTAGTGTTAAATGCCTGTAAGAATGCTATTCACTATGTAAAGACAGCCATTGCTCAGTCTTTGGTGGGTATTGGTAATGGTAATGGTCCCATTAACCATTTTCATCCTTTGAGATGGTCTCCTTATCAAGGGTAAGATCTATTGCTCAGTTAAGATTTTAATCGATCCATAGAAAAACCTTTATCCAGGCTGTTAAAGAATCACTGCCCACAGGTTTATGGTCTGATTTTATTGATCACCCCTTTGTTCGTGGTATTGCTGATGGTACTTTACCCACTGAATCTTTCACCTATTATCTCAAACAAGATTATCTCTATTTACAGCATTACGCCAGAGCTGCAGCATTAGCCGCCTACAAATGTAAAGAGGATACATACATACTATATCGTTAACCAACCCTCTTGTTATAGCCGACACAATGAACACCGTTGGTGCCAATGCTTCTATTGTACTTCATATCACCAAGGAGTCACAACTTCATTTAGAGTATTGTGCTCGATGGGGTATTACAAAAGAAGATGTCCTAAGCACACCTGAAAGTGTTTTCAATTCTGCTTATAGTCGATATGTACTCGATAAGGGCCAATCAGGCGATCTGCTTGATTTGAAGATCTCTATGGCACCTTGCTTGCTTGGTTATGGTGAAATTGGGCTCAAGTTGTTTAATGATCCTGCTACCAAAAGAGACGGCAACCCTTATTGGGATTGGATTTGTCAATATGCTGCTGATGACTTTCAAGAGGCTGTTCATGTTGGCATGCGTAAGTAAATGGAATTATTGAGTGGTCTTATTGATGTCTTTGTAGAGGAATTAGAAGTCTTGGCTGAGACTTATGTTTCTACTTCAGAAGCTCGTTTTAGAGATGTATGCAAAACCTTTGAACAAGCAACTCGACTTGAAGTCATGTTCTGGGAAATGGGCCTTCGTCTTTGCTAAATAAAATAAAATAAAATGTTTTTATTGAATTACACGGATTCTAGCATACTTTTGAAGGAGTTCGGGTGAATTAGTGACATTGTAGAGCTCATCAATCAGAGCAGCACGGAAAGTACCAGGACCGTGCACATATTCACGCTTGGCTGCCAATTCAGATGCCACAGTCACTGTCAAGATACCGGCCACTGTAGCCAAGAGATAATCATCACGATTGGCTGCAGTAAAACAAGCAACCACAGACGAGACCATGCATCCACTGCCTGTGATCAAGGGTAAATAAGGATCACCATTCTCTATAGCAAACACACGATGACCATCCGAGACATAGTCCACCGGACCCGTTAACCCAATCACACAATTGTTTTCTCTTGCTAACTGTTTGACTGCACTCACCATCACTTGCTCTTCATGTGTGCCTACTGAATCAACACCTCTTGATTTACCTCCAAATCCTGACATGGATAGAATTTCACCTGCGTTGCCCTTAATCACTGTCAAATCACACTCATTCAAGAATCGAGTCAGTGTTTGTTTCCTGAATTGAGTGGCACCACAGCCCACAGGATCTAAAATGACAGGGTTTTTGTGACTTGCATTGACTTGGGCTGCTGAAATCATGAAATCGATATCATTCAATGTACCCATGTTGAGTAACATAGCACCATTGACAGCAGCAAGATCGCGGAGTTCTTGTGCATTGGTTGACATGATGGGAGATGCACCTACAGCCAGTGTAGCATTGGCATTGTCGTTAATGACAACATAATCTAAAAAGGAAACATGTCAGTCTGGACATAATGCCATGAACAAAACACTTACTCGTGATATGATGTACCATAGGCGTCTTTGCCTTGATGTTCTTGGCTGCCTGTATCGCATAAGTCACAGCATCATCTACTGTAGTGTTGGCCTTGACACCCATCTTTTCAAAACTGTGGCGAATTAAACCGAGTAATTCTTCACATGCCAATTTAGGATCTTGTGCTGCCATGATAGCAGATACAATAGCAAGGCCGTCTGTATACATCTTGCCCGTATGAGATCCTTCAAGCAACTCACATGCATTTTTAGCACTGATACCACCAATAGCCACTGTAGGAATAGGATTGGCTTCAATGGATCTCAAAATACCTAATTACATAAATTGAGTGACACACACATCCATACCATGTCTTACGTTGTACGCCTTCAACACCTAAAGGTTGCTTAATGTTTTTTTTAGTGGATGTGAACCAGACAGCACCAATACCGAGATAATCAGCGCCGTCACGAATAGCAGTAACAGCTTCTTGTTCTGTATTGCAAGAAACACCAATAATCTTTTTAGGACCTAGAATGTGTCGAGCCTGAGTCAAAGGCATGTCGTCTTGACCGATATGAACCCCTTCCGCATCCACAGCTTGAGCTACATCCAGCCTATCGTTGATAATGAGAGGTACGCCATATTTACGAGTCAAGGCTTTGACTTTAAGAGCAAAGTCGATAAATGGTCCTGTCTCAGTATCTTTTTCACGTAGTTGAACAATCGTGACACCTCCTTCAAGTGCACGTTCTATTTGACCGAGAAAAGTCTTGCCTTCAGGCACAAGTGAACGATCTGTAACAAGGTAAAGTGAATAGTCTACTTTTTTAATAGCCATAACTGGAAAAAAAAGAGAAAAAATTCGCTGTGGTTAAAATGTCTAGAATGAGATGGTTTTTTGTTTTATTGAAAAATGCAAAAAGAATTATTTAGAACTAGAAATAGCCAAGTTGATCTTGGGAGGTACTTTGAAGCCAAATGATTTAGCAATTTTAGCAAGATCAAGACTATCAACATCAAAGATCTTTTTGTTGTGATATGTAGCGTAGGATTGCAAATAAGATCTAAAGGCATCACGGGCAGATTGGTTTAAATAAAAGTTCTTTTCAATCAGTTGTTCAAGCTATCAAGAAAATGAGTAACACATTCATACACATATATATATATATGTCTTACTTGGCTTTGTACATTGGTAATTTTCTTGGTGGGGAATTGGTATTCATTTAATGGCACTTTGGCTTCTTTCAAAAGCTTCAAGTAACCAGTTTCGCTTGGTAGTAAGAACAATAAACTCTTACCCTTGCCACCAGCACGAGCAGTTCTGCCTACGCGATGAATATAGTCGCGGGTGTCATCTGCAGGATCAAACTGGACAATCCAATCAACAGCAGGAATATCTAATCCTCTTGCTGCTACATCTGTGCACAATAAAATACCCTTTTCAGCCTTTGAAAATTCAAAGAAAGTATCAGTACGCTTCTGTTGCTTTTGACGGCCGTGTAATTCCATGACTGGCAAATCAATATAGTTCAATAGTTCGGCATAGTATTTGACTGCATTACAGCTAGAGAAGAACACAATGACTTTTTTCTTTTGGTTTTTGCGCAAAAAGGTAAATAAGAGCAAGAAGCGTTGATCTGCTTCAACAATAACAAATCCTTGTTCTAATCCTTCTGCTGTTGATGTTTCTTTCTTTTCATCCACATTGATGTAAAGAGGTTGTTCTTTAAGTGAGACACGGGCAAGATCAGAGACTTTAGTGGTTTGTGTTGCAGAGAAAAGCATGGTTTGACGATCCTTAGGCAAAATTCTAACAATTTGTTTCATTTCTTCTTCAAACCCAATGTCCAAAATACGATCAGCTTCATCAATGACGAGCGTCTTGAGGTTTTTGGAAATGAACCCTTTTGTGTTTTGTAAATGATCCAAGAGTCTACCAGGTGTGGCGACTAAAAGATTGATTCCCTTCACTAACTTATCGGCCTCTACTTTTCTATTGGCACCACCGATGACAATACCATGGGTGATATGTGGATGGTATTTACACAATTCTTCAGCGACACCATAGATTTGAATGGCTAATTCACGGGTAGGAGAAACAATGATAACACCTGTGCCATTTCTAGCCTTGAATTTGTGACGAAGCAAGAGTTCAATAGCAGGGATCATGAATGCTACTGTCTTGCCTGAACCTGTCTTGGCAGCACCCAAGACATCACGACCTTCCAAAAGAGGAGGAATGGTCTTTGCTTGAACTTCTGTCATTTGAGTAAAGCCCATATCTTTGATGGCCTTCTTTGTATCTTCATGGCATTCGAGAATTTCAAAGCGAAGGTCGACTTCTTCTTTGGGTTCTATTGTAAAGAGTGAGATCGAGGTTGGTAGATCGACTTGTGTGTATTTTACCTTCTGTTTGAACAGGTTCTTCAGGCACAGGCTTAGCTTCACCTTTAGCAACTTCTTGCTTCTTTTTGTTGGCTCTTTTATCAGCGTGAGATCGCTTACGTTTTTTGTTTTCAACAACTGTATCCACCATATGAGTTTGATAGCAAAGAAGAAAAAAAAAAGGAAGAAAAAAAAGACAAGACATAAAAATAGAGGGGTGGCTTTTAGCATTGTAAGACTGGTTTTCCTGTCCAAATAAAGATCGACGAACAGGATTGTGTCACAAAGAGGTGCATAAACTATCTGATTTAAAAGCAACTTTGTTGTTGAGATAGAGTTCCTTGGGTTCTTTGTGTTCTCTGATAGGACATGTAAAAATAGTTTTTTTTTACAGAAATGATTAAACAAAAATGCAATCGTCTACTGCTGGCATAAACAACTTCTATCAAGCCTTAATCTTGAATGCAACCATATTGTTAGTATCCTGATAGTCATGGTGCATACAACAGCTAAAATAGAAAGCATATTGCAGACTCAATAGTTTTGTTTTATCGCAAAACTTTTTTGTCGCTATGCGTGTTTACAAAACCAGTGTAACTCAAAATGATAAGCTTTAAAGGAATCTCATATTTCAAAAACTATATTTCTGTTATTTATATCCAATTAAAAACTACGCCTATGACACGAACTTTGATGCGGTAGATCCTTTTAAACCTTGTTTATATGAAGACAGCAATGCCTCCATATTTGATTGCAACCTCCTTGAGTATACAACATATCATATACATTTTTTTCTACTTTAAATATTCTTTAAATTGTCTGTTGTTCTTTTCATTACCCCTTTTTTTCTTTTTTTTTTGCGTTCTGTTGCAATGCATAATATAGAGTTCAACAACAAAAAACATTTTGAGCCTAAAGATTTCGATACACTCGAAGCTCCTTCTTCCTCGGCTATTACTATAGTTCAAGCATCAGACACAGCATCGCAACAAGAATCGTCTCACCATGAACCTTACTCTGTTTTCACAAAAAACCAAAAAATCATGATTGTCTTGACGGCTTCCATCTCCAGTTTCTTTAGTCCGTTTTCAGCCAATATTTATTTCCCTGCATTGACATTGATTCAAGACGTAAGAGATTTTATTCTTAAGCAACACCGCATAACATGTTGATAGGATATGCACATCACAGAACGTTTAGTAAGCACCACAGTCACTGGCTACATGATCTTTCAAGGCATTTCACCCTCCTTTTGGGGAAGTTTAGCGGATAGCTGGGGCCGTCGTCCTGTCTTTGTCTCGACGTTTTTGGTTTATGCACTGGCTTGTATTGGACTTGCAAACACAAAGAATTATGCCACCTTGTTATCACTGCGAATGTTGCAGGCATTTGGGTCGAGTTCTGCTATTGCTGTAGGAGCTGGTACTATCGGAGACATCGCTTCGCCTATGGAAAGAGGAGGCTATATGGGCATTTTTACAATGGGTTCCATGTTGGGCAATTGTTTGGGTCCGCCTTTAGGTATGTCTATGTAGCGCTGCTGTGTTGATAACAAAAATAACTTTCTTAGGCGGTGTGTTGAGTTATGCGTTAGGCTGGAGGTAACATTTGATAGATTGGGAAGGACTATCTTAATCATGTTTCTTAGATGGATATTTTGGGTACTTTCTTTGATGGCTATCTTGCTTTGGATTGTCCAGATCTTTTTTCTTCCCGAAACGCTTCGATCACTTGTAGGCAATGGATCAGGTTATGCCAATCCCACGCCTTGGCAATACTGGAAACATCGAAAAGAACACCACAAAGTCCAAGAACAACAACAACAGGAGATCATCATGGAAGAAGCCATTCCAACCGAGAAACGAGATGCATTATCTAATCCATCTCAACTTTGCTTTCAATCTGGTGCTACAGCCTATATCAACAAAGACGCAAGCACCGCGAGTCAGCCGGGACAAGACGATGCCAAGATAACACTCCCATGGAGTCAAGATAGTGGTATTTTACAACATAGTTCTGAAGAAACACTTTCAGAAAAACAAGTTCAAAAAAGTCGATATTGGAATTTTCCTAATCCACTTCAATCAGTCTATTATCTTAAAGAAAAGGATGTGTTTGCACTTTTGCTTTATAATTCGATACAATACGCTAGTCTCTATTGCGTACTTACAAGTCTTACAGGCTTGTTTACGGATATTTACCAATTGAATGTGTTTCAAATAGGCCTATGTTTTCTATCGAATGGACTGGGTGCTATGATAGGGTCTTTTACATCGGGCAGGATTCTAAACTACAAGTTCAAAAAGATGGCCAAATCTCTCAATATCAGCGAGGAGTTTATAAAGAGGTATGCATTGTGATAAACAAAGCCATCCCAGATTTTAACCCTAGAAAAGAGAAAAGATTGACCCTGAATTTCCTATTGAAAAAGCCAGAATGGGTGTTACTTGGATTTGGGGGATAGCATTTAATATTTTCATGATTGTTTATGGATGGTGTCTACAACAACAAGTGCATATGGCCATACCTATTGTGATTAATTTTCTAAGTATGTTATTGACAGAAAGATATAGTAGTTTTATTCACTCCCTTTTTTAGTGTCTTATTGCTCTACGTGCATTCATAATTCAACTAATACACTGTTGGTTGACTTGTTTCCTCATAATTCAGCTGCTATTATTGCCTCTAGTAACCTGACAAGGTAATATAGATAGTCAAATACAAGAATTAATACGGTTCTTAGATGTTTATTAGGTGCTGGTGCTGTGATGATGGTTGAACCTGCTGTTGCTGCTATGGGCGTAGGATGGTTTTTTACAATGGTTTCTTTTGTTTTATTACTTTCACGAACAACTGTTATTGTCCTCTTAAAGTTTGGTCCCAAATGGAGATTAGAGCGTTTTCATCAAAGTCAATAATACTCTCTTTCTGTACATGTAATATTGTAAATAAAATAAAAATACTGGAATGCAGGTATGAGACTGACAACAAATGCACACTCTGCAATGTATGATTGGATAAGCAAGTTCAAGGCATGCAAGGAGAGCAATACGCACTTGAATATCCTATTTGATTCCTTTTTCTCTTTTCCTACAGAAAAAAAAAATATGATAAAATCAACATCAAAAATAGTAGCTTTGAATTTTTTTCATAGAGTAACTTCTTCTCAACAGATACTCAAAAGAACCCATACAACTACACTCATGACAGGCACAGCTAGTGATTTTGGTGGTCGTTTAAGACTAGGTGAAGAAAAGTATTGTGAAAAATACAGTACACCTTTTAAGCAACCCTTCCAACGTGTATTGGACTCCATTTCAAAAGAGACAAAGGAGACACTTAGCAATCCTCACATGATGGTGAGTGAAGTACAAGCCAGACTACTCAAGGAGTTAGTTGCTTTGATGAGACCTACTCGTGTGCTTGAGATTGGTGGCTTTACAGGTTATTCAGCTGTTGCTATGGCTTCTGCTTTACAACCCAATACAAAGATCGTCTCATTAGAATTGGATCCTAAGCATATTGAGATTGCTAAAAGACAGATTAGTTCTGCTGGTTTACAAGACAAGATTGAGTTTATTCAAGGTCCTGCGAACGAAAGGTATAAATTCATATGAGAGTAACACGAAACTTAAAAGCCTCTACGTATAGTCTATTGAACTTGGCAGGTACTCAATATGACTTCATTTTCTTAGGTAAGTCAATGTGTGTGTATGTGTGTGTGTATATGCTTGACACGTCATTAGATGCTGATAAGGGCGGATATATCCATTATTTTGATACAATCATGGAGCATCACTTGTTATCTGATCAAGGTGTCCTTATTGTCGATAATGGTAAGTGAATAACAACTATTGATATTGAATATTGACCAATGATTAGTCTTGTATTTTGGACAAGTTCATAAGTCAATCCCGGGATTCAGTCATGAAAATGAGCCAGTAACAACAGAAGCTTCCAAGAATATCAAAAAAGTAGCTTCCAAAGTACACAAATTCAATGAACACATTGCTAATGATACAAGAGTTGAGTCTACTATTTTGCCCATCTTTGATGGTATCACCATTATCAGAAAGAAATAAATAAATAAAAACAGTGTGTGTTCCTGGGGTTTAATTATAACGCGTTTTTTTTTTAATATGATAAAGGTCATTGAAGTGTATAACAATACAGAGAATGCACTTGAATTGCTATCGAACATAAGACACATGATGTTACAGATCATACAAGCAGTTTCTTCAGCTTCAGCAGCTTCACTTACAGTAGAACCTGATTTAGTTTCTCTTCAAAAAGCACGTAAAGAATATGAACAACTGATGAGTTCTTTTAAATCAACAGTGGACTGGTTACAACACAATCAACTGAGATCAGAAGACTTGGAGGCTCAATCTCCAGACTATGAAGCCGATATAAAACAACAAGCAAAACTGGAAGAGGTAAGAAATACAAGGCTGAATGTTAAGATACTTACTTGAATAGGAATCAATGCGTGTCAATGACCAGTTAAAGCGTTTACTTAATCAATCTTATGCCTTACAATTCCAAATAGAAATGCTCTTTAACTCATCTCAAGATGTTAGTTTGAGTTAAATGTTATGTAAATAAAACTGTATCATAAAATATAAACTAACTTAGTTTCTTTATTAAAGTACTCCATTGTGTCAACAGAATAGTTTGAGCCTAAACAATCAGGTTCAGATGTAATTGAGTATTATTTTATTTTTATGGTGCTGTCCAAAAAAGAAAGAAAAATGGCTAAGCTATGCTATCTAGTAGCATTCAAGTAGCTCCATTTGTTTTATATTGATTATCGTTAACAGTGAATCAAAGTATGTCTTGTTTTAATAGTTACAATTGAAATTGATCTGGAGTAGGAGAATGTGCCATTGGTCAAAAGAAACCATAGAAGAACTGAACTGGTGGAAGACATTTCTAACAAAGAAAAATGGCTTACCCATACAAACAATACAACTGAAGAAACCGAAAGCGATCATCACAACAGACAGTTCCGATACAGGCAGGGGTGTAAACTCATTGATGATACAGACATACGGGTTTTGGACCAAGAAGGAAAAACTATTGCCAACCAACGTAAGAAAACTGATAGCCATATATTTTGCGATTCAATTACGTGCGCCAAGACGCAAAAACTCAACAATCAAGATATTAACAGACAATACCACTCAATAAAGTACGTAACCAAAGAAGGTGATACAGCATCAGTAGACCTACAAAACTATGCAGTAACGATTCAAGATTTTTGTAACAAATTCAATTTTTTTATTGGAAAACCTTACCACATTTGGAGCCGAAGCGAAGGCAAAAAAAATTGCTTTAGGCATAACAAACAATAGTGTATCTTAAAATTTTGGAACAAAAATAGCTTAAAACTTCTGTCCAATCATTGATTCTCTTCCTTCTAAAGCAACTTGCTAAATGGAGTAATTTAGCGCCAAGTGCCGAATTGTTCCTTTTTAAAAATAAGAAAAAGAGAAGCCATACTCCTTGAAAATACATTAGTTCGAAACAAGCAAAGAATCATGACATCTCTTAATTTTAAACCTACTTTTTAGAAAGTACCTATCAAAAACATGACTATACATTAAGAAGAAGATGCACTCAGTAACAGGGCTCTTTTTCTTGTGTGATAAGTGTTTGGATGAGGCTTGATAGCCATATAAATCCAAGAAATGACAAGAAATGCCAAGCTAGCTTAACAGTCTCCGTTCTTCCGCTCTATTTTCTCAAACTCATTCTAAACAAACATATATAAAAGAATGACATTTAATCCCTGTGTCCATATATTTATCTTTGTAATTTTATTCATTATTATGCTTATTACCAAGGCAATCACAACTCGTAAGTTTATTTCTTTCTCTTTTGAACAATGTTAACATTTCAATTTAGTTTCCAGTCTCTCTGCAGTCGCATTTATCTCCATTGATGCCAGTCCAGCATCCTCCTCTAACATCAATTACAACGTCATTAACGTATCAAACAATACTTACGCTATGGGTGTCGTTGTGGACAATGTGACTTATCCGTTGACATTAAGTGAAGATGCTGATATACTTTACACCGGTTCTGCTCCTGTTGCTTATTCTGGATACAGCTATGTTCAAATCAACAAAGTTACCAATGCTACTGAAATGGAACCCTTTTTGCGTAAACCAATTGAAACCAACACATTCAATGAGTTCTTTAACCGTACTTGGAACCAATATCAAGTAGCTACACTCCCTAATATCTATGAACCAGTCAAAGAAATCAACCGTATCAAAACGAATTTACACCGAGAAGGAGAAATTGCTACTATCCATATCACTGCCAACCAGACTGAATTTGACCGTTTAGTCAACAGCAACATTACAGATGACTACGAACTTAAAACAACCAAACTAAGCTATGTCAACTTGAATGAGACATTCTCATTCAAACATGTCAAGCTATCCCTTTCCGGCCATTTTTCTCGTCTCATGCCTAAAGTCTCATTCAATCTCAAGTTAAAAAAGAAGGATCGTCTCTACCAATTCAGACACATCAAACTTAGAGCCATGATCACAGATCCCAGTTATCTCAGAGAAAAGCTGTCATACGATGTCATCAAATCCGTCGGTCTCTTGTCTTCTGAATACTCTTATTGTCGTTTGTTTGTCAATGGTAGACCTCTGGGTCTCTTTGGTATTATGGAACCCTTTCAAGACCCTTGGTTGGCCAATTCTTTTGCTGATGGTAACGAAGATTATGAGAACGGTTATCTCTATCAAGGCTTAATTGCATATAACATTCCAGATTTGACCTATCATGAAAACAAAACCATGTACACACTAGGAGAATACAAAGTGAAGGTGCCTGCTCCTGGTGGTACAAAAGAAGATTTCCAACCTTTGATTGACTTTACAAAGGCTATTTCCAAAGCGCCTACCAATGGTTCAAATGCTGTTGAATCATGGAACAAGATCATGAACATGGATGTTTTTCTTAGAAACATGGCTGTAGAGATACTTTTGGGTTTATCAGATGGTTTTATCGCTGGTCACAACAACTTTTATCTTTACAAGAACCCTTCCACAGACAGAATGTTCTACATTCCTGCCGACTTTGATTTGAACATGGGAAATTCCATCAATGGCATTTCTGGTATGTTGACTGGTAATTACAGTACTTTCCCCCAGATGAATTCCACCTATTTGATGGACAAGTTATTACAAGTACCTGAATTCAAGCAAACATTCGAAAGCTATTTATTCAACATCACTCAGAACTTGGTTAACCCTACTGTCATGAACAACCGCATTAATGATTTGTCTAATATGCTTAAAGAAGACGTCGCATGGGATCAAGACTTGGTCTATGCAGGATTTAATTTCTCCAGTATGTTTGGTGATTTTAAAGGCATAAATATGAGTGGTTCAGATATGCATCTCCCTTTAAACAACAAACCTGACAATACTTCTGCTTTTGAATCTGCTTTGTTGAAAGTTTTCAAAGACCCTTACATTGTTGATTTTGGCTTGAGAATTTTGTTCCGTGTTCCTTTTGAGACAGCTGTCAATGGTCCAACAGGTTATATCTCGTTGGTTGGCATTAAAGAATGGGTCCAAAGGATCAATGAAAATGTTTTGAATTACTTTAATCATAAATAAAGAACTATTAGAGATAATCGATGCAAACTTACGAATAACGCTAAATGCAACGGAAAAAAAAAACGAGTTAAAAACTGGAGATTGGATAAGATCCTAACAATCATTCGCAATTGACTATTCTCCTCTTCTAGCGAAAAGACAGATGCTTCAGTCTTAACTTTTTTAGTTTTGTATTGACTGATTTGATTTTGGGAGAAGCGAGGGATAGGTACCCCGAGAAGGTACACGGTTTCTAAACAAGAGGGTTTCCAATAAGAAAAAGATTCTTAGAAAGGCTACATTCCCTCTTCTCGTTCCATCTGGAGCGTTTCAAAGACTCGTTTTGCACCCATTTTTCAAGGTCTTCTTTAGTCACAAAGCTTTTCTTGACAATGACATCCTGGAAGGAAGAAGCAACGGCACAGACATGCTCGGAAGTAATGAATTGGCTTAAAATTTTGTCATTGGAATATAGAAGAAGTTTAAACGGTAAGGAACACGTAAATAGAGCGAACAACTTTTTTTGGCCGTATTCTGATAGATGCATAACTGTCTATTTATTCGAGCATTCAATGTTTTCGCAAACTTACAGTGGCGTAGTTTTAATTATTTAGACTTTGGGTGCAATGATGGGGGTGTTGCTTTTTCTGTCTTTTTTTTGAATCATGTCAATTTTGGCCTTGAAGGGACTATCCAACACAATAAGAAAGAGTATTGTCAAGCAAACAACTTGTTTCAGTCAATCAAGATACAGCTATGCCACATTAAGACAAAAAACAGCAGTTGTTACCGAAAATAACGATCATATCCGTCTCCTGTTTGATGATGATAATGCCTGGAAACACCAAACATGTACCAAAACAACCGAGTCCATAGGCTTTTTCGAGAACCCTCATTTCTCTTCTATCTATGGTATCGATTTTGCCACGCAACAAGCTATTCAACGTGCACAGATCCTTGTTGAGCGTATTTGCAGCGCACCTCAGAATGGTGCTGAAGAAATGCGCAAGATTGTCAAGAATCTCGATCGACTTTCGGATACCTTATGTAGTGTGATTGATCTAGCTGAATTCATTCGTAATGCCCATCCCGATCAAGCTATCATGGAAGCAGCCAACAAGAGCTACAGTGATCTATGTTCCTATATGAACTTGTTGAATACCGATCAACGTATTCATCAGGTAATGAAGCAGTATATGTTTACTGTTGGCTCACATAACGACTTAGGTGCTTTCTCTTGTATTGGCCGATAAAAGTATTGTGGATACATTTACACCTGACGAACATGCGGCAGCCATTGTTTTTCTACGCGATTTTGAGAAATCAGGCATTCATTTACCCAACAAGAAGCGAGCAGAATTTGTGAATCTATCTGACAAGATTATTCATTTAGGCCGAGAATTCATTCAAATGAATCCTAGATCCATACGCCATGTCAAAGTACCAGCAACAGATCTTTCAGGCGTGCATCCCAATGTCATCATGGCAATGAAGCGTAAAGATGGCTATGCTTATATACCAACTGATGCTACTGAAAGTCAAATTGTATTGAAATATGCTCACAATGAACATATACGACGCAAAGTCTATGAAGGCATGAACTCTGCTACTCCACAAAGTATTGATGTATTGGAACAATTAATGCGCACACGGTCTGATTTAGCTACACTTGTCGGTAGCCCATCTTATGCAGACCTACAGTTACAAGATAAAATGGCCAAAAATCCAAACAATGTCGAAGCCTTTCTGAAGACGTTGCTCGAGCATCAAGCACCTACTTTTAAAAATGATATCCAGTTGTTAGAAAAGATCAGGCAACAACCTGGTTTAAATGCCTGGGATCGTGATTATTATATGCAAATCCATAACTCCAAGCATGCTGTTCCTCTTGGCATGCCACATTTCTCAGTGGGATCTGTCATTCAAGGTCTTTCTCAGTTATTTAAGCATATGTATGGTGTTGAATTTGAACATGCGTCCCTTAAGCCTGGAGAAGCATGGCATGATCAAGTGCGCAAATTAGACGTAGTATGTGAACAAGAGGGTAAGATAGGCACCATTTATTGTGATTTGTTTAGTCGACCAGGCAAAACGACTTATTCTGCTCACTACACCATACGAACTTCCCGTCGTGTAGATAATGATGATGCAGAGAACGACATTCAATATGCTTTTCCTGGTCGCCACATTGATAGTAGTAAACTGATGCCACCTGTGCACCAGCCTGCTGAATCTGTGCGTGGTAAAAAAGGTCTGTACCAATTACCCATCATTGCCTTGACATGCGACTTTTCTTCCTCCAATGCAAAACTTTCCATGTCTGAAGTAGAGACCTTGGTACATGAAATGGGACATGCGATGCATTCAATGCTGGGTCGCACTGATTTTCACAACGTGGCAGGTACACGATGTGCCTCTGACTTTGTTGAACTGCCTTCTATTTTGATGGAGCATTTTGTATGGCATCCTCAAGTGCTGCCTCTGTTTGGCAGTAATATTTCATCACATGCAGTGGATGCCTATCTAAGACAACGTAAGCAGTTTAGCGGTATTGAACTCAATAGTCAAATCCTGATGGCCCTTGTTGATCAGCGCTATCATTCGGCTGATGTGAAGCATCCTGGTTTCTCAAGTGAGAAAGAATGGCATCAATTACAAGACCAAGTAGGACTCTTCAAGAGTGTGCCTGGCACCATGTGGCCTGTTCAATTTGGCCATTTGCTTGGCTATGGATCGAACTATTACTCTTACTTGTTTGATCGGACTTTGGCCCGAAGGGTCTGGGAAACGCATTTCAAGACAGATCCATTAGATAGAGAAAAAGGACAAGTATTCCGTGATGGCTTACTCAAGTGGGGAGGAGCACGTGATCCATGGCAATGCATTGCTCACGTCTTGGGAGGACAAGACGGAGATAAGATTGTACGTGGTGATGAAGAAGCGATGCGTACAGCGGGTGACTGGGGCATTGATGTCTAAATTAGCCCGCATAAACTAAATAAAAGTCAGTTTTTTTTTCTTTTTTCTCTCTTTCTTTTACGCGCATTTTATCTCTTTTTTTATCTATCAAGATGTCTAATAATATCATGGAGGCAAAAAGGTATATGAAGAAAAAAACAATGCTATTCGTTACTTATATAAAAAAAAGGGCTTGGGACATTATCTTCAATGACCCCAACTTGTCGTTAAGTTCACTCAGTCATCGCGCTGTTGCAGGAACCGTATGTCAGAACGGTCTTCGTTCCGTCTGTTGGAAAGTAAGTGAGTTCTCAAAACAAAACAAAAAAGCAATATATATTTATATGTAACAGGTTTTTCTCGGTTATCTTCCCACTTTGGAAGTTTCAAAATGGTCTTCTATACAAACACAAGAACGTCAGCACTATACAGACCTCAAGCGAAAATATATTGAAGAACCAACTGAAAAAATGAATAAACATGAACAAGAAGACCTTTCTGATAATAATCCACTCGCACTTAGTGATAATGTAAGTTCAATTCCTCCATGTGTCTAGACTTACTTTATTTGTAGAATCCATGGCAACAGTATTTTGCTGATTCTGAAATTCGAAAAGTGATCCGACAAGATGTAGAACGCACGCAAGTAGCATAAAAGACATTTAAGCTTTTTTTTTTAACTTGGTTAGGTTTCCTGATATTGAATTCTTTCGTGAAGAACAGGTTCAACAACGTTTGACTGATATTTTGTTTATTTATTGTAAGCTGAATCATGATGTATCTTATCGACAAGGCATGCACGAATTATTAGCGCCGTTTTATTGGGTTTTGGCTGAAGAAAGTTTAGAGGCAACTAAACTGGAAGATGATCCAGTCGAGTAAGTGATGCGTTGTTTGTCTATCCTTATTCATACTCTACAGTCCCGCAACCAAGTTGATGGCGCAGGTTTTGGACTCAGCTTATGTGGAGCATGATGCATACATTTTGTTTAACAAACTGATGAAGCATGGTAAATCTTGGTACGAGTTCAATGAGCAACCTAATACATCACTCAATACAAAGGTAAAGCATCCTAATACTATACTTTGTCTAATGTACGTTTTAGAAGGACGTGTCACAGACTACAATACCCAAACCAGTAAGTAGATAAAACGAGTCATGTTGTTGTGCTAACCTTTTTTTTTTTTTTAATCCTAGAACTCCCGCTTAAACTCTGTTGTTACCCTATGTCATCGCATTCATCACCAATACCTTCGCACTGTGGATCCTTATTTGTATCGTCATCTAGAGAACTTTGGCATTGAACCACAACTTTACGGCATGTAAGCAAAGATACCATCCTTTTTTTTTTCTGTTTGATTTACTTTTTTTTTCTGTATAGTCGTTGGATTCGTTTACTTTTTGGAAGAGAATTTGAAATTCGTGATCTCCTCAAACTTTGGGACGCTATTTTCGCTGAAGATGCCACTTTTGAGATTGTCGAATATGTTTGTCTTGTGATGCTTTTACGTATGCGAGATCAATTGCTTAACAAGGATTATGCAGAATGTTTGAGCATGTTGATGCGTCCCTCTCAGATCACAAAGCCAGCCAGTCTTGTTGAACAAGCCAAATATCTTCAGTCGAACCTGTCTGAGGAAACAGCCTTGCAGATTCTTCAACAGTTAGATGTTCGCTCGGGTAAAGATCCACGTCCTTCTTTGTCAGCTGGTGTTCCTGAACTTCAAATTGCACCCGTACAACCTAGACCACAACGAACATTACATCATAAGAGTTCGCAAGAAGGTTTAGATGGATTTTCACGATTGACAAGCAACATGATGAAGAACACGCAAGTCAGAGATTTGAATAGAGCTATTGCAGGTGTGATGGGCACAGTACAGGTAAAACAAAAAACACATACACAAAAAAAAGGGAGATTAACCCATTTTATTAGAAAAACGTCAATACGTTTGGTGAAAATGTGTTGGGTAAACCTCAAGATAACTTTGTTAGAAGATCCACCGTTTCGTCTGAATTCCCTTCAGGATTTGATCGTATTGCGAATCAGCAACAGCAAAGAACACAACCTATTTTACCCACTAAACCAGTGGATGAGCAACTCGCAAAGCTGAAAGCGACAAACCATCAAATGGGTGAATTAATGAATAAATGTATTTCTCTTTTAGAAAATGAAATATTTCCTCCTCCTGCCAAAATTGAATCCAAAGAAGATCAAAAAGTACCTGAAGAAGAAGAACAAGAAAAGATTGATTCTGCAACAGTGAGTGATGCGGATGTGACTAGCTATGACAGCCATAATTCAGAAGACGAAGACACACCCAAGAAGCAGGAGAGTCAAGATACCAAGCCTATTCAAGATGACGCTACTATTATTATGGCTCTTGTCGGTCTTAAACACATTCGCGATGTCCTCACAGGTAAACAATCCCACTTTGATGCGAGTGTGATTGATATGAAATCGCCAAACGATGAAGATCCCAAGAAGAAAGAAGATGAATGGAAATGGGATTTAGTAGACCCTAAAGAAGCAACACCACCTATTGTTAAAAAGCCTACGTCTATTTTCGTGCCACCACAAACATCCTCTCCTCTTTTGGATGTTGAGACACCTACTATTGAAAACAAACCATTACCTTATGTGCCTGCTAACCCTACACCACCCAAACAACAAATCAAGTATCGTATTGAAGACTTACTCTCTGATCCTGATCTTCAACTTTCTAGTCCTAAAACGACCAATACCAAATTCAAATGGATCCTGGAAAACAATGTCGAATCACCCACAAACACATTACAGCATGATTTATTCAAGTCAGAACAACCCAAATCATCACCTCGAAAAAGAAATAGTTTTATCATCAAGAAACAACACTCTGATCTTTCTATCAAGAGCAGTGCGGCTACCATTGATCCTCTGGATGCCAAAAATGTTGATAATAGAAAGATATATGAGCATGATATGCTATAAAATATACACAAATAAAGAAGAAAAAAGGGGGGAGATTAGCAGGCTGGAAGATAAGCTCTACAAACAGGACATTCCAGTTTGATTCTCATCCACTATAAACAAGCATAAGTGACTATAAACATGTAGTATATATATATACCTTTTCTAAACATTCAGTATGGAACATATGATGACAAGGTGTCACCATATAGTTTGTCCTTGATAACACATTTAAACTTGAATGGGCTGCTTGATTCAAGTCAATAGGCAGCATACAGATAGCACAGTCTTTAGGTGGATGGTTGGGCTCTTCTGCTTCTTCATCTGTGTTATTCACAATAGGATGATAATCATAAGTTTGAGGCAAATACTACTTGAGTTAGCAATGAAAATAGATATCCTATCTTTACCTTGGAAGGGACAAAGAAACGAGGGCCAAAAGAATCTTGAAGGAAGAGAATCAGTACTTGTAAAGCGATGTAGGTAACAAGTGCATAGACCCAAGGTGTTGTTTCATGGCCTATTAGATTCTCTGGGCAGCCATAGAAATCTAGTCTAATATAAGATACTTGGTTTTGCCTATTTGACTTACATAAAGGCATAGAGAGACGAGTGATACTCATCACAAGTACATAGCGATAACTTAAAGGATGTCTGCAGCCTCTGAATACATTACGCACAATTTGTGGTATCCAGAAGGAATAAAACAACAGACCAAGAGAACCTATAATAATATTTTGAACAAAGGCAGACCGTGTTACGGATTGATAGAATAAGAATAAACCTAGCAACAAAACAGCATCTAAAGATAGATGAGCCATTGTATATGTACATGCATCTTGCTTACATAGACGATAGTACAAGAATGTAATTTCTCGATGTGAATTGTTTTCTTCAGAAGGATTAGGTCTTCTTACATTAGCAACAGGCAATAAATTTTGGGTATCTGCCGACTGCTGCTGTTGTTGTTGCTCGGGTGTTGGCGAAGAAGGTTGACTCGCTCGGATAGATTCTGGTCGCTGAATTCGCCAAACAACCAGTAAATATCGCATGCCAAAGATGGAGACAAGAACAAAGGTAAAGAATGCAGCTGTAGCGAATGGAACAAACACATTTTCAACGACAACACCCGTTGTTAAATGCAACAAGCACAAATAACCGTCCATGATGGCTTGCATAGCAATAGTCCAATAAGATACGTTAGAGACGCTCTAAAGATTTAAATGAGTTTATATTCATGCAGTGTAGACTTACCGAAGGTGTGGGTGTGTATTCCATTTGATGAATCAAAGAAAATATTTGAATGACTGCAATAAGACTAGCCATACCAGCATAAGTTACTGCTTTGTTATAATAGTGTTCAATCTTGATGCCTTTGTCTTTTCGGCTTGAAAGTAGCAATTGACAGTTTGGAGAATACATCTCGGTTGATAAGAGAAATGGTGGTGGATCAATGGTTGAGATACCTTGAGGATATTGAAGTTCTGTTGAATAGTATTAATCCTATAGTATGCCTAAGCAAGATTTTTTACCTCTTTCGTATTCAAGTAATTCAGAAATCTTAATATAAGAGGGAACAGGATGAAGTTGAGCAAATAGCTGAAAGTTACATTGAAAAGGTATTTCATCTGAATGTTCTATGTAGTTCATAAATCATCTTGATGAACAGAGTCTAACTTACCTTCTTCTGTAGTCTGCCAATCCCAGTAGGATTCTTCTTTGATCTCTTCAATTCTTTTATCAATTTGTTCATTGAGCACACTTCTGGCAGCAACCAGTGTCTTATTGGATGGTAACATATGTAGTAAATCTTGAAGGGGAATAGAGCGTCTATGATCTAGATGAGCGATGGGTATGTTTGCATTAGTGACTTTACCCATCTGGAACAGCCATTAAATAAAGAGATCCATTGCTCAAGAAATGAATGCCGCCAGTCAGCAATAGAGCACCATAATCGCTCTTTTCTGCATCTTTCATACGAATGTAGCCCTGACATTATCAGTAAGTACCTGTTTTTCTTTCTTATGGAATGTACCTCGATATAATTAATATCTTGATCCAATGTACTGACAGCCTTCAAGTTGAATTTAAATGAACCTGGACCATCAAATTGAAATTTACTTCTTGCGGCATCCAATTCTGTCTTGTTTGTCTCTTTTGGTACACTGATATTTCTGTTTTCCCATTCGCCTAGCAGAATGTCAATGATAAGCATACTTTGTGCCTACATACCTCGAAAAATGCCAGAGATGTTATGATAATAATGAGAAGTATGTGGACCTTGAATAGACCATAATTCTTCAAGTGGAGTTTGAACTGTTGGAGGTAAAGGCTATATTCATTTGATATAAGGAAAACAAGATTCAGGTATATTTGTGCCTATACTTGCATGTGATACATTCACACCAAAAGTCAAGTTGCTTAATAACTGCTTCTCTTGTTCAAGCTCTTGAAGGATATCTGCTTTTGATGGTTTACCAGTTCCCATAGAACTGTCGTCTGAAAAATTAAAGAACAAGAGAATAAATAAAAATAAAAGTATGTAGGAACTGGATCTGTTCATTTCTTGTCTTTGTGTTCGTTGTTGTTGCTCATTTGTTGTGTTCTCGGTGTCCATGAGGAGAATAAAAGAAAAAGAAAGAGAAAAAAGAAATTGGTAGAGCTTACAAGAAAATAAATAAGCGACGACGTCACGTTTAAGCATTTTGCATGAGTATTGTAGACAAGCTTACTAGAACAGCATTGCATGAAAAATAGTCTTGTCTAAGTAAACTAGTGATATGAAGAAGATTGTTCAAAATACAAATGAGAAAAAAAAAGCTGCAAATAACAAGCATAGCACTCTTTCCTGTCAAGTTATCAAATAACTGATGATTGCTGTAAATGTACTCACTAATAGGTTATTTATCACAGAAAGCTATTAGAAACTACTATTCGTTTACTTTTGTATTGTTAAATTTACCTCTCCAAATCACAATTATGCTTATTGTGATTTTATCCCAAAAGCTAGTTTTTTGACCGTTTATCATATACAACGATGTTACTGTATATAACATTTTTGATTAATGGTATATCTACTTTAAGTTAAGATGTGTCACCTTTTTTTTAACAGTCCTTTTTAGTTTATGCCCGCTTATAAAACTCACATGGAATTAATGCTTCTTATTCTTTTCTTTATCTCTCTCTCTTTTTCTTTTGATAACCATGCCTACTTTGCCTCAAGAAATTCTAGAAGAAATATTCAAGTATTTGAGCCCCAAAGATAACACACAATGTCAACTTACGTGTCGTCGCTGGGAACAACTTGCTCAAGAAGCTGTCTATAAAGAAGTTGAGATAGTTGACGACGATCAAATGACATCATTCCTACAGTCACTTGCAACTTCAGTTTCTTTACCTGGAAAGCTTATTCGACACATCAACATCAAATACCCTTCCGAAGAAGAAGTCACAGATAACTATCCAGGTTATGATTGGGACTCGGATGATGATTTTGATCTCACGAATGTGTTTACTGAACTGGCCAAACACTCTCCCAACTTGGAATCTATTGACTTATCAAGGACTTCGATTCCTTTTTGGAAAGACTTGCTTGTCGAATGGAAGAAAGGCAATTGGAAGTACTTGACCACGATACCCTATCCTGAGTGTGACGATGAGGTAGACTATTACTTTCGGGCTATTCTTGCCATACATGACAAAGTGAAAGAGATTATGTTGTGCGACTGTCTATTGACGCGACAAAGAGGCTCACATTCTGAGAGATTCAAAAGAATGGTTAACAAGATGAAGTATTTTATAAAAGTAGAGAAACTGACGTATCAAAGATATAATGCATGTTCTCTAAAAGAACTTGACAGTGTGATAGAAGATCTTCCTTCTCTAAAAGAATTGAATTTGTGGATGTTCCCTTCGGAGCAAGAAACGACGCATTTAGATAGTTACGACATGTCGAGTTTAATTCCAAGCCCAAAGATAAAAAAATTAAATGCTAGCATGATCCTTGGTTCTGAAAGAGCATTTATATATATCATGAACAAATTTCCCAAACTAGAAAACCTGCAAATAAACTGCACAGAAGAGAACGAATCATGGTCCTTTCTTAGGTCAACTCAGCCAGCTTTCTCTAGAAACTCAATACAGAAAATAACAGATTATCTATTGCGACTGAAACGAGTTCATATCAAAGATATCAACTTTAAGAATATTGGAGAATTTGTGATTGATGTGCGAAGCAAGCTAGGGCGTGGAAATTTGGAAATTGAATTTATTGTAGATTATGGCGCAGATGAGATTACCTATAGAGACCTGCAAATGACATACAATCAATATGAAAACAACAACCATCCTCATATTCATATGACAGCTGTATTGGGTGCTGATCTTATTTGTCGATTCACTGAAAAGGTGCAAAAGATAGGTCGCGTCTTGGACGAACTGACAGTCTACGCCATTGAACTAGAATCCTTCTTCTTTTTCATTGGGCACAAAGACTGCAAGAAAGCAGTTGCGCCAGAATGTTATTTGGATCATATCTGTACAACATATCCCAACCTTAAAATATTGACTTTGATAGGCGTTAATTTGATTGATCTTTCCTTTGATATGGACACAGAAAGTGCATTACAAATTTTGTGCCTTAAAGGATGTGCTTATTCTCCTTTTGTCTTGCATCAAATCTCAGATCGCTTTCCCAAACTCAAGGTATTGCGTATCACGAGCCCACGGATTGTCGAAGCCAATGGCTCTGGAGTGCCAAGTAAGAACACAAATATATACATAGACATGCCTCACTCCTCGCTTGATTTGCTGGGCCTGGAAGGCATCGGGTTTGAGGCCATGTCCAAGCATTTCTATATAAAAGTCACTTCTGAAAAATCAGACAAGTATTACAGATTCACAACACCTATACAATCTGCTGCTGTTGCCGAAGAATTTGAAGATGCTGTTCGTAGTCCAGTCCATTTGACGATTCATGTAAGATGCAAAGACATTGGTGTTATCCTTGTAGATGATGTGCTTCATTCTATTATTGGGTGTCTTAATGTGACATGATTTTATTGATAATAAAAATGATTCTAAGTACATGCTTGTGGTTTTGAAACTATATTCTTTAGTTGTTTGACCATATCTTTGCCTTGCCTTGCAGTATTTTCAAATGATCTTTCTAAAGGAACCCATTCGACTCGCCAAGGCTCGCCATCTTTGAAGTTTAGAATATCATTCCAATCATCAAACAGAAGCGAGTCATTTAATGCGATCTCGGTGCCACTTTTAGTGATAATCTTAGTGACCCGCCTTGTTCGATAGGAAGCAAGAATGGAAATACGCTCTGCTAAGATTTTTCCTGTATCTGTAGGGTATATTTTAATCCAAGACCTCTGTCCAGGGTAAATACTGGTCACTGTAATGTGCCGTTCTGTGTCTTTTGGTGTTTTGTTATAGGCAGACTTGTTTTGTTTTGAATGTTCTGGTAATGAACTATTTGTATAAGCTTTATTTGTGTTCAGTGATCAGTGTACTCTAAATAAAATGCATGCTTACCTCTGCTTGAACTTGGGCCGTGTATAAGAAGGGGAGGAGCTCCTGCTTTTAAAAAGTTGGTAGGATATACTCTGTTGACCGGATGTTGATTGTCTTGAGCGAAGCTTGAATTAGCTAGAATGGGAGTGGAGAAAGAGTAAGGATAAAGTATATGTGGTTGATATGGACTGGTGTGTCCTAATCGATGTTCGTCCTCCTGACTCTCTTTTTCCTCATACACACGATATGGCTCTACTTTTTCTTTGCCTTTGGATTGGCATTTTATTAGATCAGCAGTAGGATCTAGAATTTGAAGGGTAGGTTTTGTATTTGTTGTTTTCATTTGATCTGTTCGCTCTGTCACTGGGATAGCAACAAAAGCAGTATGTTCTTTCTCATCAGGCTTCAATAACAAGAAGGAATCAGAATACTTTGTAGGACTAGGTACAGAGGAAGACTGTCGTTTTTGGTCTGATTTTTTGGTTGCTAAACTGTCTTTGATAATAGATGCTTTACGAATAGGGAGAGGAGGTTTTGTTGGGCTTTGGTTGGCATTAGGTTGCACATTCGTTTGTATTGGCATATCTGTCTTTGTTGATAGTGTTTCGTTTGAAGGTTGAACGACAGTGTTTAATGGCATCATTGGCTCAGTATGCTTGTCCAGGATTGGAGAAGGACTCCTGCATAATAAATTAGTTATAAGGTGTGGCTTGTATTGCTTTGTTGGATATTGTGTTGATGCATTGAGATGATCTAAAAACATGAGTAAGGTATCACGCCACTATTCGTACCTTTAGCTTCAATGGAATCAAAAGAGCCCTGTGAGAGAAATGGATTGAATGCATTTGATTGGTTTTGACGCTTTCGTTCTTCTTGCTCTTCCTTTGCTTGTAGTTCCTTTGCCATGGCTTCATCCATAGCCTCTTGCTTTTTTCTAGTGGCCAATTCCTTCTCCCATTCACTATCAGCTTCTTGTTGTAGTTTTCTTACAAGCCTGATTGATTTCTTTTCTCTTGTGCGATCAAACAAAGGATATTTCATGTTGAAAAAAATAAAGAGAAAGCAAAAGACCTCTATTTATACATGGTTCAATTCTTGGCAAGTATTCTTAAATGAGAGCATAGGAACATCATTGAATGAAATCGTGCGTTCTTGGCACTTATTGCTTTGTTGTTCTATTCTTAAATTACAAAATAAATAAATAGATGGTTGTACAGCAAACAATGCTGTGTACTCTCTACTTTATTCCATCTTTTTTTTGTAATGAACCGACGATATGGTATAAATAATATGATTACTGTGCTTATTGTGATAGAAAAAAAGGGAGGAAATGGAAATAAAATGAAATGTCCTGGTATTGAGGCTTTGACTAACATTACACATTGTGTAACCGAGGGGAATTCCATAGCGCATTTGGCTGTACCAAGGAAAGCTAAAAAAAAAAATGCTGACTTTTAAAATATAGTTTTTTTTTATCATAGAATTTAAAGCTGTTGACATAGTAAAGTACTAAATTCTGTAGATCTCAGAGAAGTACATCGAAGGATGTAAAGAGAGCAATATTTCTATGATCAATTCTTCAATCAATGCCTCAAAAGCATGATTTTTTGATTTTAAATCATAGCATACACCTTTTATAGTGCTTTTGCAAATCTAATAATTTTTACGTATTTTGCCGACTTGTAGGAGCGTTTTTCACCAGTATATACCTTAGTAAGATGTTATTCTATCGCTGTCAAATTGCGATTTTATCAAAATTAAAAAGATTGTCGAGGTGTCATAAGCACTTTTTTTTTTTATTTTTTTGACTATTTCAAAGCCTGCCATATTTTCATATATAAATGTTCCTGTATGTATCCCTAGGCATAAACAATTCAAAAAATTGTGTTTTGGAGCTGTTATCGATGAAAATACGACCCTTTTCCATCATTTTCTTGCTGTTTTAGGCTTGTGTACACTTGCATGAAAACGCTTTTATTCTAATCAGCCGTTGTTTTGCAAAGATGATTTGCTTTTGTGTCTGCGAGACAGGCATGAGATGTTTCGTAGACAACAAAGATAGCCCTGAAGTGAAATAAACTGTCTATATGATAAAACCTCTTTCTCAAGTTTACTACGACATCAAAAAGGTCATACAAGGAGTTGAACGCATCTTTATGAACACACACATACACACATACACACACACACACACATGAGCTATTGTTTGACACTGTAAAGAAACAATCTCTTTTTATTGCTGTATCATGACGATGAATAAACTATGTATACAATGCTTAATGGAAATCAGCAGCTTTACCAGTCTATATGTGTATGAAATCATATATTAGTCAATCTGTCTTTTTTTGTCATCTAGAGACTTACGGTTAACAAGCCAACAATAAGACCGAAAAGTCCAAGAACAGAACCGAAAATCTCAACCACAAGTACCTTGACAAAAAGTTCGGGATTTTGAGCATCGGCCAAAGCAGCACTTGAGCCTGTAACACCCACAGACATACCACACAACAGATTACAGATACCTACAGTCAAACCACCCCAAAAGATAGCATGACCTAATCAAGCTTAGACATATATATATATATATGTATATACGAGAGCGCGTTGTATGTTTTACCTGTAAAATAATTGGAAGTCGTATAAAGACCTTCTGGAGGAACATCACTCAATTTAGCGGAATAGACAATGGCCATAATGACACCATAAATAGCAACAACTTCACAGAAAATAATAGAAATCAAGTTTCTAGATTGAATACGAGGTGTCTTAACGGCGGCACCCAATAAAGCAGAACCTGTAATAAAAATGCCCCTATAACGTGTCTATATCAATATGGGTTGTGTTCTACGTGTTATAGCTTACCAAGCTGCACCAGTAACAGATAGGCCGATACAGAGACCCATACCAGTCAAGGCCCAAGCATAAGGTGAAGTTTCTTGTAAGAGTCGACCGACATTGAACTCTTCACCGGATCCAGTGAAGAGCATGTAAAGTCCAACAATAGTGAGTAAGCTGAAAGAAAGACCTGCCCAGTAGGTCAAAGGTCCATATGAACTGCCTGACATTATTCTTTATGAAGAGTGGTATAGAATTGAAAAAAAAAAGTCTGAAACGCTTAGGAGAAGCGAGAGAGACCTCAAACGATGAGCTGGTTTTGAAAGAGCGAACGTCTCGAGTGTTATCGTAGTGATTTGATGACGCATCAGACATCTTCCTAATTAGGTATAAAGTGCATACAATGGTTTGCGTTTAAGGCTTCAATATAAATGATTCAATCGTGGCTTCATCCTGGCTTCATCCTGGCTTCATCCTGGCTTCATCCTGGCTTCATACAGGCTTTTACAACCTTAGTTTATCCTTTACTTTTTATCAATAAATTATTTCTTCATTTTACATTTCTGAATTATGGTCATTATTACCAGAGAACAAGCTATATGTATTTTCTATTGCGAACCTTACAACAAGGATAATGTTCAAAAATTTAGCAAAATTATAGATGATGTGCAAAATGTCGATATTTGTTACGATAAGGATCCTAGAAGATCCTTTCTATGTTCTTTGAAGTCATTAAAACTCGAACCATCGAGGCACCATCAATATCTGGCTGTACTTGAGGAAAAAAGCAAAGGCAATCCATGAATAAATCACTTTCATGAAGAGGACTTATTTTATATAAAAAAAAAAGATTTTTTGGAAATAAAATGCTGATTTGCTAAAACTTCATCACGTTCAATGATATTAATTGTGTTTGTATGTGGCAAATTATCTGATAATTTTTCTTGAAGGAAAATTTTCACTTGATAAAGTCTTTTAAATCGTTTGAATTGGTTGTCAAACCAGCAGAATCAAGAGTGACCAAGCAAATCTTGGGGTTGACCACGACAAACTTTAAAAACTATTTCTGACCCAACTTTATATCTTATGTAGTTGAAATTGAGTAACTTTGTTTATAAAGATGGAAACGGAAACCTAACGAATGAGAATGGAGAAGAGCATCTTGAGTTTGCAATGGAAGTAGTTGACGAAGCTTACCCCTTAGGAGATGTTACAGATTTCGCAATGTATACTGATCTCAAGCCTCCTGAAAAAGTAGCCAAAGATGTTATGAAGACTGAAAGCAACACCACAAACCCTATTGCGGGAGATGTTGGTGGGATTTCGCGCAACTGAATAAAGCTTTGCTCGCTTGAAGCTGAGATTGCACTTTGTAGTGACAAACTCATACAAAGCAGTCTTTGAGATCTTCAGACCCTCAAAGCTACTCGTAAGACACTCCATCATCTCTTCCAAGACCATTTCAGACCTTTCATCAAATAGGTTCAATCAGACACTCCTTATGAGCATCATTGAGGATTGCAGGTCTTCCAAGCATCCACTTCCCATCTACACTCCTTTCCACAGCGACCTCACTGTCCTTTTCCAAGCTCGCCTCTCCTTGCTTGAACCGCGCTTGTGCTGTCGTTGGTGGTATACCAAGCTGTTTAGCAGCACCTTGGACACTCATATTCTTTTCATACACCAAGTGAAAGAAGTTACTCTTGTCCTCAGGATTGTACTTCCGATAGGCCTTCTTAGAAATTCTCCTGAAAAAATTGAAACTAGATATCAATGGGTGAGACTGACATGGGTTATATGAGAAATTGCGTTTTTATTGATGATTCTGCATTCCATATCAAGTTGAAGCGCTCTTATGGTTGGTCTAAAAAAGGTGATCCTGCCATTGTCACAGTTCCAAAGACAAGAGCAACGACCACGACTATTCTTGGTGCTATATCTGCTCACGATGTTGTCAATATCAAGATCAAACAGCCCAAGGTAGCGGAGCCCTCAAAGAAAAGAAAGTTGACAGGAAAAAACTCAACTGTCGCAAACAAGGGCAAAGGAGGAACAGTGACTGGCCATTACTTCAACTTTATTGGATATTTTGGATCGTCACGAGACCTTCAAGGATAGCTATATAGTCATGGATAATGCGCCTATCCATACGCACCAAGACATAAGAAAGTATATAGAAAGCAGAGGATATGGCTGCGTCTACCTTCCTCCATACTCACCAACCCTTAATCCCATTGAAGAATTTTGGGCTGTTTGCAAGGGCAAGGTCAAAGAGAGAAACTTTTGAAAGAGGAAACACTCACCTCCAGAATAACAGACGCCTGTAACAAAATCCTTTTGAGCGACTTGAAGGGGTTTTGTAGACATTCTATGTCTATGTTTGATGATTGTTTGAACAGAAAGCCAATCTAATAAACATATTATTTTCTACTTTTGCACCACTGACTTTAATTTTTTTTGCTCAATTTCTTTATGATATCATTGGGTTTGGAATCTCTTTGGATAAGAGGATCATTGGAGCTGCTGTTTACGGAAACAAATGTTTTGTCAACTAAAGATCGTTCTTGCAATCGATCTACCATCAGTTGAAGTAAGCGTACTTGAACATGAAGATCAACGTCTTGCTTAGATTTACGGGCATATCCTATGATAAGATAACCCTCTTTCTTTAATGTTTCTATGTGCCGTTAATACTTGGGCAAATAGTTTATTACTTTGTCAATCGTATCGCCTATGATAGAGTATAATCAATATAGTAGAGATAAAGAATTTATATTCAGTATGTCTTGCTAGTAAATTCTTCTTTCAAAACGTATAAACATCTGATATTCTTTTGCTCAAACTATTTTTTCTTGTCTTCACTTCACTGGTCAAGAGACCTAACTTCTTGTCGCTGCACCATTTATTGAAAGAGGAGGAGCTGGTGCCATCAAATAAATCCGAACATTCCCATACCTTCGATAAAATATCTTTCATTGAAAAGAATTGTCTTTCATAGGTGATGTTGTTATTCGGATCGTCAGGAAGGTAGATCAAGTTTAAAAATTGTACAAGCTGCGATACATTATCTTTTGGACTTCTTGTTCCTTATTAGTTTCATTTGCAATTTCCTTTTCACTTTTGTATGTATGGATTTCAAAGGGATGCGAGTATATTGTTCTTGTACATTGTACAAATGGTCTTTTGGGATCGTCGTAATAACAGATTTCGACATTTTCCAAATCGTCTATGATTTTAGAAAACTTCTCAACATTGGACTTGGTGAAAGGTTTACAATAAAATATGCATAAAGCTTGTTCTCTGGTAATAACAATCATTCAAGGTCAAAATAAATTTCTCTCAAAAATGTATTGAGACCTTCGAACATAGAACAGTAAACATAAATTTCCCATCCTATCCCGCCCACGCTCGCTCTCAAAGATCAAAGATCAAATAATATCACTTTCACATATTTATACTTAATTTTAATTTGACCTATATATTTTACTTATACATATTTATAGAATAAAACTAAGAAGATCACAGCAATTTATGTTTACTGTTCTATGTTCTCTTGTCTAAAGTTACATTTTGATATAAAAAAGGCCAGGATGAACTGAGTGCAAAAAAAAGCCATGATTGAATCATTTATGATATTACTGAAGAATTCGTTTTTTTTTTTTTTTTTTTTTTTTTTTGAAATATTATTTCATAAAGGGTGACATAATATCAAGAAGGCCTCGTACTTTTTTGCATTGCAGTTTCAAAAGGAAAGCAATTATAAAAAGCACGCAGAAAAAACTATTAGATGTCTTTAATGATTTCCGAAATCAAATAAAAGCTTAGGTTGGCTATTTAAAAGAAACAATACTTGATGTAGTCACTATTTGCATCAATCACAGCTTAGTATTGATTGACCATAGTGTGTAGTAGTATGAATTGAATACCATCTCATTTTTAAACATGCAATTGACAGAATTATTTAACTGCCTCCTCCTATCCGAGTCAATATTTTACATAAGCTAATTAAAATCTGTTACTAATTTATTTCTCTGCTCTTATAGTCTAATGTAAATATCTTGCTGTGCTCTGCTTGATTTTTACTCATTTATAATATTTCATTTTTTCACTATGTAGCAAGCAGGGGTTAGTTATTCCGCCAAGACAAAAGTTCTTTCGAGATGGTATCAAAGTAGCATCAGTATATACAAAGATATTATGCACTCTTCTAGGAACAATGATGTTCTTGATCATGTCCTCCTTAAAGGATCTGTATCTTTTAGATGAAAGAAAAAAAAAGCGAATAAAAGTAAGATACGCTTCATTGAAATCAATAGATGTTGTTACTGTTTAAAAAAAAACATAATGGCTTATATTCTGCGTGAAAAGAATGTGTTATGTCTCTCTAAAGAGGATCTTTTCATACAATAATAATAATAATAATAATAATAATAATAATAATAATAAACTCCTTCTCAAGGGACTGACACAAGTCTTAAATGACTAAATTAACTCTCTATGACATTATAAGTAAAGAATGCTATGAAATAACTGCAAATGGGTAAAGCAATGAATGAGAGCAATACATACTCTCAATTAGGAATTGAACACAAACACCAACTATCGTCATGGAAAGGAAAAAGAAACAAATTTGGCTAAAAATACATAAAAAGAAGAGTCTTCTTAAATGGCCCAGAGATATACAATGTCTCATCTAAAAGCACATGTTTGTTAAATTATCTGAGAAGAAAATTGCATTATATATGGCTTACTCATATTTCATTTTGTTTGCCTTGAACTTGTTTTTATTTTGGCATGTGAATGGTATACACATCAGGGTTCTATGTTTACTGATTTCTTCAATGTAACACAACATACTGAATCAATACATTTCTTTTTAATCTTGATTTACTTAGTGTGAATTGTTTAAAGCAAGCTATGTTAATTATTGTTGTTGTACAGTAACCAAAAAGAAATGGTGCGGTAATACTTGAATCGCGCCTTGTGAGGAATATACATGTCAAGATTAGTATGTCTCGCAATGACTGGCTCAAAAAAAGAAAAAAGAAAAAGGCAACTCATTTGAATAACATTGATTTTTAACCTGAAGAAGATCATACAATTGTTGCTTAAAGTAACTAGAGTTCAATTTCAGCAGATCTGAGTGAAAATAGATATAAAGCAAACTACAAGTGCATAAAGTATCCTCATACTTTCTCTAAGGTGTACCGTTGTTTAACATTACACATGGGCATTATCATGCAAAAATATATGTAAACATATACAAGAGTAAGTGCAATTCATTAATAAAATATGGCCTATTATTAACTACCAAATTAAAACTCCATGAAAGTATTACTATACAGAGTGTGACATTAACTTTTTCTGAATATAATTTCTTCGTCTACTATTCCTTTTTAGAGAATAGAAGAACTCTTTCTTTAATAAAGAAAGAAGGAGAGAGAAAAAAAAACAAGGAGAAAGAAAGAAAGAAAGAAAAGAGGGGAAGTAAATGAACAAGTATCGAACTAGACACCAATTTGTACACACTCTTCTTTTTTCGTTTTCCGAAAATTGTGATAAATGAAGAGAAAAAAGATTTTAGATAATGAACATCTTTTTTCTTGTATATATGTCAATTACTTTTTAAGAAATACCCTACTACTTTTATTACTACCTATTACTTATTACTTTACACTTTCGATTCTTTAATCTTGGTATATATATATATATATATATATATAGGGAAACATACATATCTATATCTACACACATACATACACACACATTATATACATATCTTTGTTTGAATGGGTGTCGTCTGTTGTCGGGAAGAAATCATAGATCTTGATGGTGAAGGTAATCAGACAAAAGCCAACCTGTCAAACTAACCTATACAAGTTGATTTGTCCCATTTTACCTTATTAAGATCTGTTGGTAAAGGTGCATTTGGCAAAGTCCGAGTCGTTCAGCACAAAGGCACCAAACAACTCTACGCTCTAAAATACATAAACAAAGCAAAATGCATTCAAATGCGTGCAGTAGAAAATATTGTTTCAGAAAGAAGGCTATTAGAACAGATCAACTGTAACCTGATTGTGAATATGCGCTATGCTTTTCAAGATGATGACAACTTGTTCATGGTACTTGACCTCATGTTGGGTGGTGATTTACGTTTCCACCTGGACCGTTTAGGCGTTATGCCCGAAGAATATGTTCGATTCTATGCTGCTGAAGTGTCTGTTGGCTTACATTATCTTCATTCACTTAATATTGTACACAGGTATATAAAGTTTTTTTTTTCTATATTACTAACCTCACTTGAAGAGATTTGAAGCCTGATAACATTCTATTGGATGAACAAGGCCATGCTCATTTGACTGATTTTAACATTGCCACTATTATCAACAATTCAAAGCCTTTGACTTCAGTTGCTGGTAGTTTTGCTTACATTGCTCCTGAAGTATTACAAAAAAGAGGCTACCTCTCATCAGTAGACTGGTGGTCACTTGGTATTGTTATCTATGAATTACTCTACGGCAAGGTAAAAATCAACTCATACCTATAAGATACTCATTTAACAATAGAGACCTTTTAGAGGAAAGACAAATGATGCTTTACAACAAGCCATTTTACAAGACGCTGTCCAATTCCCTGAAAACAGTAAAATATCAACTGAAGCAAACGATTTTATCAAATGTCTACTGACAAGGGATATCAAGAACCGTATTGGTGTTGGTTCTCAAGGATTCAGGCGATTAATGTCTCACCCTTGGTTTGTTGATATACCATGGGACATGCTTGAGAACAAACAAGCCATACCACCTTTTCAACCAGATGTAAAGAATCGTATTACTTAGGCACGCGATTAACCTATTTTTCGATAGACCAAAAGAGCCAATTTCGATCCTACACACGAATTAGAAGAAATCCTGTTAGAAGATAACCCTCTTAAAGTAAAAAAACGTAGCAACAATCCAAAGAAATCAGGCGCTTCTTATGCTACTTCTGTCAACAGTAAAATAGGTGATATAGTCATAGAACAACAGAGCCCTGAACGCCAATTGATGGAAGACAAATTCTTGACCTACGATCATTCTAAGCCAACTGAAAACGAAAACCGTAAAAAGTTACTCGAGCAAAGGCAATGGGCTCAAAGAATGAATAAGACAACAGGCCAAACCAACGGCTATTTGGATACCAGCCATCGCTACCAACAAAACGCGGCTGCCAACCCACCTTCTCGGACTAAAAAGAAAGCAGGTGGTACTTACAAAGCATCTGTCTTGGACTATTTAAACCAAAAACCAGCCACGCCATTATCTGCTGGTGATATTTTAAAATTAGAAGAATTAGCAAGAACAGCCAAATCAGGTACACGCGATAAAGTCAACGATTGGCGACCTCCTTCAGCCCTCATGGGCAATAGTCCACCTGATGGTAGTCCATTAGATGCTTTACAAGCAAGAGACGATTATATTCTAAAGAATGGTGGTATTCCTCCACCTTCAAAACCACCACCACTTTTGACTCATTATCATCATCATGACTATTATCACCAAGATGAAAAACGCAATCATTCAGATAAACACCAACACCCTACCTTTGATACACCCAATACTAATATTAATAACATTATGTCTAATCAACAGTCATCGCCTCCTCCTCCTCCACCGTTTGGTAGCAAGTCTCAAGACTATTCAACCCAGTCTTCCTTTCGGTCTGACGATGAAAGTTACCGTTTGAATTCTTCACCTGACAATAGTGAATATCCTTTGATGGCCTCTGTTGCTGCATTAAGTCAAGATTATCACCATCATCATCAACAGCAGCAGCAACAGCAGCAACAGCAGCAACAGCAGCAACAGCAGCAACAGCAGCAACAGCAGCAACAGCAGCAACAGCAGCAACAGCAGCAACAGCAGCAACCGCAATCACAAATGTATCCCATCTCCATTGCTACTACAACTTCGTCAAGCAGTAATTCACAGAGTAACCTTATGATGCACGATAATGGATCTTCTGTAAGACAAACACCTACTCGTATTTCAAGTATGCCTCGTATACACGCAAATCCATTACCACCTCCTACAAGTCTACCACCACCTATTCCAGTTGACTTACCCCCATTGCCAAACCCAAACACTAAAAACTATGCTTAATTTCACCCTTTTATGCCCACCTTCTGTATTTTTTACGCGCAGCTTCTCCCCCCTCCCCTTATATATATATATAAACAAGCATCACTAAATCAATTACAGCCAAGATGATGGATGTTGTCAGTTAATAAAAATTTAAATGTCGAAAGATAAGACTCAATAAGAGAGAGCATTGTAGAACGAACTAAAAAAAAAAAGTCGGCGTGCTTTAAAGCTTGTCTTGAGTGTCCTTTAAAGTATCGCTGAGTTTGAATTAGTAATTTCATGTCAAAAACTAGATATTCAGGACTAAAAGCGCCAAAAACGAAAAGTTATCAAAAAAGTGTGCTAAAGAACTGGTAGAAGTAAATACAGAGCATGTTAAATACAAAGATAGTGAGCTATCCTTCAGAAATGTGCTTTCTGTTTTTGAGCTGCAGCATACACTTTTCTTAGTACATTTGTAAATCTAATACTTTGAATGTGTCTTATAAACTTAGAGAAGCAGTTCGTACTAAGACATGTCATGTCTACAACGTCTCTATCAACCACGTATCGCAAAATAGTGAGAAATGAAGATTTGTAAAGAGTATCATAAGGTCACATCTGGTTGCACCTTAGCGATAGTTATAACACACTTTCCGACTGGGTCGAAGCCTATGGAAACGCCAAGAAGCAACTCTTGGGACTTTGTCAACGTAATTTGGATGCTCTTTGTGCACAAACAAATGCCCCTGTCCTGATCTCTGCCTGCAGGCCCTTTGTTGGTTAGATTGATCCTATCTTGCTGCTGCCTATGTCGATCTATGGCCGTCAAAGGATCCTCCGTTGACGCCTTGAGTAGATTTCAAAGTACACCTCTACTTGTTTATGTAGTTCATCACTTATCAGCAGAAGACATGTACTGGGTTGTCTGCGCACTGCTGAGCGCTTGTGGTTACCAGCTGATATGCAGCCTAATCCAATTGATGATGTCTTGAATCAGTTGCCTAGAATAGCACGCCCTCCAAGTCTACAAGTTCAAAGATTTAACCGCTACACACGATGGTCAAATTGGTCGCCAATCATTTGCCAACTATTTCTTGAAATCGATAGTATGGATCTTCCCGACAAGATCTTCTCAAGCGAAGAAAAAGATACCTTTGGTTTGACTTTTCTCCTTTGGCTGATATCCTCGCTATATCCAGTACAAAGCGACAGCTAATTCTCTCCTCCATCCTGTGGTGTTTATGCACCTGTCTTTTTCTTTTATTTTTTTTTATTTTTTATCTCTTCTTACCTGTATACACTATAGCACATCATCGTCTATGTTTTCTGCCCCTTTTTTTCTTATATTTATCACTCTATAGTTTTTTTTTGTGCTTTTCTTTTTTTAAATTGATGGTTAGACATTTATCCCATAGGGTCCAGTCTTCAAAACCTTTCAAATAAATATAAGCTTTTGCCAAGTATCATAAGGGCTAAATCATGATTTTTTGAAATTTGCTATATTCTTGCATAAATATGTTTTTTAAGCATGCTCAAGTGTGGGAAACTCAAAAAAAGGGAATTGGAAGCCAGAAATGATGGTTCATCTTGATAAACAGTCGCGCTTGCAGTGGACTGTCAATCCCCCGCTAGTGTTATTATGCTAAGAAATTGTTTGCCAAATTTACTCAAAAAAGAAAGGTAGTTTATATTGAAGGTTTATTTAACAGAATTCAGGTTACTTTTGAGGTCTTATAATAAGCTTAATGTTTTGTGGGAAAACTGCAGATTGTATAAAAAACAATGGCTTAGCCGACAAAATTCTTCGGTATCCTTTAGATGGTGAACACCTCTTCAATTTCCAAGAGAGAAAATTCAACAGCCAGTGCAGTGGAACCACTCCCATTGAAGGCACATTTGACATAAGCGGTTTATCAACACCAAACTATCAAAATAGTAATGTACGCAAAGATGATGAAACTTAAGTGCAGAACTTTATGTCAAAATTAACTGGCAGAATGAGTTGGAACAAATGTTACAAGCAAGGAAGAGAGGAAAGCTTTTTATGAACCACAATAACTGGAAAGCATTAAAAGCTGCATACAACAATAGAAAAGGCAGAACACGAAAAAAAAAAAACGAAGATAGTTAAAATAGAAGAGTAGGTAGACTCGCAACTACTGGAAATGGGAAATGCGGCTGGTCGTGCCATCTTTGATCTCTTCTTTCTGGCATGTTCCTGTGATCCTAACGGTTTTCATCCCTGGCAAAATATAGATATTGTGGGCAAATTCGATACAGTATGACAGATAGGTATTTTAAATTACAGACATGTCAAAAATTAAATGAAAGATAGCATCCTTGTTTTCACAAGCCCTGTTAATAGACTCAATAGAAACATTTTCATAATCAGATATCATCAACGGAGTGGATTTGTTGGACAATGTTTGATGCAGCGACGCAGCAAACTCGAATGAATGGGGCAGGCAACAATTTGCTATATCCGACTGAATACAAGATATCATTGGCCAAAATACAAAAAGGTTTCAAAGGAATATCTTTGTGTAATCCATAATTTCATTTTTTGTAAACAAGCATTACTAAATCAAGTATTGTTTTTTATAGCCTAAACAGGATTAAAATTTGGCATTTATAAACAACAGCTTTTCTTTTTTTGACTTTCTTTTCCCGCATATATTCATGATGGCTCCACCTGAAAACAAACTAAACAATATTTATCATAGTCATGGTATTGAAGTGTATCATAAACCAGGCATGTATCAACCATCAGACAATGGCTTCAATCTACAAAAATTGGCTTGGATTGAAGCAAAGGATAATGTGCTCGAACCATTCAAGCGTGTTCGTATTATTCATGAAGAAGATGATGATGAAAAGAGTGTACTTATAGAACATGAAGAAGACTCAAAGGTAACTTACACTGACTAGTCATTCAATACTAAGTCTGTGGCTAGGAAGAATATGTATCGAAAGATGCTATTTATATGATGAATCCACCAAAGTTTGATCATGTTGAAGATATGGCAGAATTGCTCTATATGCATGAACCAGCTGTTGTTCATACACTCACACAACGTTATAAACAAAATGATATTTATGCAAGTGAAGCAATAGAAAGGAGGGGTTGACTTACATTTCTGATAGACTTATTCGGGTTTGTTTTTAGTGGCCATTAATCCTTACCGTCAATTACCTATTTATTCACAAGACATGATTCGTTCTTATCGACAAAAACGAAGAGGCGAAATGCCTCCTCACATCTATGCAATTGCTGACCATGCATTCCATGATATGCTTCATGATAGACAAAACCAATCCATCTTAATCACGCAAGTAGAAAGATGTATGTATGATGAGTGACTAATATGCATTAGTGGTGAATCGGGTGCAGGAAAGACAGAGAATACAAAGATTGTGATACAATATTTGACTTCCATTGCAAGTAGCCATAGCAACACAAAGAGAAAAACGCTTGAAAGCCAAATTCTTCAAGCGAACCCTATTCTTGAATCCTTTGGTAACGCACAAACAATTCGAAACAACAATTCGTCTCGGTTTGGTAAATTTATTCGCATTGCTTTCAATCGTAACGGTGATATTGAGGGCGCATTTATTGATTGGTATTTGTTGGAAACATCGCGAGTACATACACAGTCTTTGGAAGAAAGAAATTATCATATTTTCTATCAACTCATGAATGCAGATGCTGATATGAAAGGTAAAGTAAAAGAGGATAAAACATGGTGGCTGATGTGTTGCTTCAGCACAATTAAGGATTGATCAACATTGTCCTGCCGATTTTCATTATACAAGAAATGCAAACCATACAATTCAAGGTGTAGATGATGCTGCTGAATACAAAAAACTTGTTCATGCTATGGATATTATGGGCATTTCATCAGAAGAACGCTTTGAGTATTTTCGTATTATCATTGCAGTCCTTTACTTGGGTAATATTGTGGTCACTAACAGTTATGGTGGTCGTGTGGATATTTCTGATTATGAAATGGCCTGTGAACTGCTGGGTGTCTCACCTGTCTTGTTCAAGAAACATGTGCTTGAACCTCAGATTAGGGCAGGCAATGAATGGGTCAGTCAATCAAAATCACCCACACAAGTTAAAGATAACTTGGACGCTTTGGCAAAAGTGCTTTATGAACGTAATTTTGGACAAGTCGTACGCCGTGTGAATTCAGCTATTGACGGTGGTCCCTTCTTTCAATCACTTGTGGAAGAAAAACGGGACTTGGATGGTGATCAGCGCTACATTGGTGTACTGGATATTGCAGGATTTGAGATATTCAAAATCAATAGTTTTGAACAACTCTGTATAAACTATACCAATGAGAAACTGCAAGACTTCTTTAACCAGACCATGTTTGTCTTGGAAGAAAGAGAGTATCAAAGGGAACACATCGAATGGAACGAAAGTCTAGATTATCGTCATGATCTTCAGCCTACAATTCAATTAATCGAAAGTGCAAAGAACCCTATTGGTATCCTGTCTTGCCTGGAAGATGAATGTGTCACACAAGGAACAGATGAGCGATTACTGGCCAAGATTGACGAACAAAACAAGAGTAATCCAAGATTTAAAAAGGACATCTACAATGAAGGATTTGCTATCAAACATTATGCAGGCGAAGTCAAGTATTCTACTTCGGGATGGGTTGAACGGGGCAAAGACCCACTAAATGAGCATGTCGCTCGCTTGTTCTCTGAATCCACTAACCAACATGTGGCTCGACTGTTTAAGGATTATGCTGTACCAACCGCGTCCAGTTCTTCATCATCCTTAAGGACATCGGATCTATTGTTACGCAACAAGGTTTCCTCACCTCTTCACTATCGCACACGTAAAGGAGGAGGCAATTTCCATACAGTTGGCTACAAACATAAGCAACAACTTTCGATCCTCATGAACACGCTACAGACTACTCGCCCTCATTTTGTTCGTTGTATTCTACCTAATGACCGCAAACGACCAGGTGAAATTCAACCTCGCTTAATTCTTCATCAACTTCGATGCAACGGTGTGCTAGAAGGTATTCGTATCTGTCGTGTGGGTTACCCTAATCGATTGCTGTTTCAACAATTCAGAGAAGAATACAAACTGCTTGCGCCTGAACTTATTCAACACGAACGGGATCATCGTAAAGCCTGTCATTTACTTCTCTCGACTGTATCTGACGAACTGTCGTATGGTGAACATTTCCAAATGGGTCGAACCAAAGTGTTTTTTAAGGCAGGTGTGCTTGGTGAACTCGAAAAGAAGCGTGACATTCAGTTATCGCTGATTATCACTCAAGTTCAAGCTGCCTGTCTAGGATGGATGGCAAGACGCAAGCGAACTGAACGTGAATCTCAAGACAAACTGATTCGCACTATTCAACGCAATGCACGCATTTATATTGATATGATGCAATCGAAATTATGGAAAGTGTATTATCGTCGTAAGGAGCTCCAATACACGTTTGGTGCTGAAGATGCTGACCGTAAAAAGATGGATGATCTGGAACAAGTATTGGCTGTCTCTCAAGAACAGCTCAAGGAACTATCAGAAGAACACCAGCATCAACAAAAGACAATTGAGTCTTTAGAGGAAGAAAGAGATACTTGGAAACTCAAGTCTGAACAGCTACAAAAAGAGCTTGAAGAAGCCCAAGCAAAGCTACAGCAGGTTGAAACTGAGCTGCAGACAACTAAGCAGTTTAGTGAAGAGCAGGCAATCATGTTGTCGAAAATGCATCAAGACGTACAAGAAGAAGCAGAAGAAAATGAGAATCTAATGGCTCAATGCGATGAACTACGTAAACAAAACCAAGAATTTCAAGAACGTATTGAGTTTTTAGAGAATGACAAAACAGTTTCAGATGCTTTACAAGCTGAATTAGACGCAAAAGATCATGAAACAAGGCAACTGCAGCAAGAAATTATGCTTGGGGAAGAACAGCATCGCCATGAACTTGATTCAAAGCAAGAAGAAATAAGTTGCTTGGAAGGGGAATTGGATCAATTGAGAAAACAAGTACTACAGTATCAAGGCGAAATGCAAGAAAAGACATTAGCCCATTCAAACATACAGACACAGTTTCAGTCAATGGAAACATCGTTAATAAAAGAGACTGAAGAAAAGAAGATCTATCAGAGAAGAAATATACAGTTAGAAAAAGATGTTGATATGCTTACGCGTCTGGTACAAAGTGAGGCAAAGGAATCAAGAGCAAGAGCAGACAGGTAAGCCATTTTTTGTTTAATATATATACGCACACATTAACATACTACTATAGACTTGAAAATCTAATCGCTTCTATCTTAAAACGATCTGTTAATACTACTTTAATCTAAATTATATCCTTAATATGCTAATGAATAAAATGTGGCAAGATTTTAATTATTTTTGAAAAGTAACAGATCCAGGAGTAACAATAGTGGGACTTGGCGACCGTGTTGAGGAAGAAGAAGGAAGATCAGTGATTGTGACTGAGTTAAGTTCAGGCGAAGTTTGAGGAGGAAGATCAGATCCTAAAAGCAATAAAATGAGCTATACCAACACCTTTGTTTACTACTTACCGTATGCATTCAAAAATTCATCCATGTCTATCAAATCATCTTCATTAGGTTGTTCCTGTTGTGGTTGTGGCTGCTGATCAGAAAACATAAGTGAGTTGGCATTTGATGTGAGTTTGGTTGGATCAAAACCAAGGTGTTGAGCTAATACTTGTAAACTTAGACCAAGGTCATCAATATCTTGATTTAATGCTTCAGTGGAATCTGCAATGTTATTTATGCTGTTTGTCACTTGGTGTAATTTTTGATCTGGAGAAGCGGCAAGTGCATTATTATTATTATTATTGCTATTATGGTTAGGTATGGCGAGGGAAGCTAAAGAAGACTGATCTGTAATACCGTTGATATTGTTGTTGTTGCTGTTGTTGCTATTGTTGTAGAATGCTTCATTGGTGAGCTGTGAAAGTAAATCAGGATTTGCTTGTGCTAAAGCAATCAAGTTTTGTAAATTTTGAATTTGAGGTATATTGTTGTTGCTAAAATCATGCATGGATGTTGTTAATGCTTGATTATCTAATAAATTTGTATAAACATTTGTTGATTTTAGTTATTTTATGTTACCTTGCTTTGCTTGGTCGTTTAATGCAATGGCATCTTTTAATGTAGATGAAGTATTAGGCGCTGAGGCAGATCGTTTGATATGAGGCGGTAATGTAGAACTTAGTCTTACAACATCATTCTTTCCATTGACATAATCATCCAAATTGAAACCATTTGATGGAGGATCTTGACGTGCAATTTTTGTTGGTCTTTCTGTTTCTGGCTCTTGCTTAATATCAAGCAACTCTTCTACTAAATCGTTTTCCAAGTCATCCCCACTAGCAGGGCCGAGTAAGAAACGTCTTTTTCGAGGAATAGCCGCTCGTTTTTCTCCGTTTGAAAAGACAGAGGCCAGAAACCGAAGTATCTTATCGATTGTTTCCTGATGACGTGAGTGGCGCTCTCTTGCTTGTATTGTATCTTGCCACAATGATCTGTTCTCTCTCTGAATTGCTTGTAACTGAGAAGAAATATTCAATTGATGCTTCTTTATTGATCTGATCTCTTCAAGAATATGATGAAGATCAATTGTGCTGAATTCTTTTTCGTCTGCACTAGGTCCCTTTTTGCGAGTAACAAGCAAAAGAAGGTCAGGCTGATTCCTTTGGAAATTGGGGTTGCTAAATTCCCAGCGCTCCGAATCACTATCTGTCTCTAAAACACCTTGCTGCAAATGAGGCACTTTGTGAAATCCATACATATTGAGTTGTCTAACAAATGAAGAAAATTTGTTGTGTTTGAAGAATCGCGGTAGTACTTTTCGTGCAAAATCTTCTTGACGGTTGACAAAGAAAGATGCACCGTCGTCTGCCCAGCAAATAAGGTCGTCTGATTCTGGATCATTTACCATGCTAGATAAGAAATTCGATAAGGAAAAAAAACAAACGCGACTTTTAGTATTTACCTATAAAGCTTGTTTAAAAAAGCGGGTACATTCTTTTGTAAAGGTTGTGTACTGGATGAATGTTTAGTAGTATTCACAGTGCCAGCAGAAGTGTTGTTCGTAGTGGTAATAGCAGTAGGCGCAATTGATTTAAACATGGTTGTTGGCTCTCGTTTATCTATTACTTCTTCTTTTATGGCTATAGGATGTTGGCTCATTTTTAGTTTTTTTTAAGGGTAAAGAAAGAGGAAGAGAATAAAATAGAAGAAAATTTGTTGAGTTGTATTTTCGGGTTTAAAAAAGTCACACAAGCTACTTTATTATTATTTAACCTTGTCTTCATCAGATTGAATAATTGCTCAAGGATGAAGTCCAAAAAATTCGATGCACATACATATAAATTAACTACTTCACATCGAAGTTATTGAAGAAGAAGAGAGAATTCACAGGAATATGTTAGTCCCGTTTTTTGTACAACTCGCCAATCATTGAATAGATAGTGACACAAGAAAAAAAGGGAGATACACTATTTCCCGAAACTATTGGCACACAGAAATAAAGTTGGCACACTTTTTTCTTGTGATTTAGCACACTTTTAATTTTAAGTTCAGCACAAATAAAAAAATATTTTGGCACGTCTCTACTTCAAGTTTTGGCACATTTTTTTTTTTTTAGAAAAAGTAGAAAATCTTGCAGAAAAGTGTCAGAATAAATATTCAATAGGCTTATGCAATTCTCATGCAATACTCAAGCAAATATTTCTGCTTCTAAAATAGTTATATGTAAAGTTCTTATTTTATAGCATAAGGACGTGCTCGTACACATCACCAATCTAACCAGTCAATCTGACTATCATTTTTACTTGTTGAAATGAATGTACACATACGATTTGAAGGCTTTTTTCAGAAGGGTCGGGAAAATGACAGAAAGCCAAGTATAGATAACACTTGAAACAATGGAATTATCATTCAGCGATTATTTCAAAAATGGATATACTTTTCTTAAAGTGAAATTATGCAAAGTCTAAAAAAAAGTTTCGCATGCATAATTAACCGAATTCTAATTTGTCTTTTCAGTAAACACATCAGTGTAAAATCTACAAATAAAGAAGTTAATATACAAACAAACAAACAAACAAACAAACATACTCTGATAATGGCAGTTTCACCCTATGGCGATGTGCCATTTCTTCAATGTATTCTCTTCGAATTACATAAGGTCTTGTATAAGTGTCTGTCACCACACGACATGCTTGATGTGCTGAAATAGATGTGCTTCTCACCATAGAACCTAAAGCATGTCGACTTACAACAATACCGTCCACCAAAGGTCCAAAATCTATCTTCATTAGTCTTGTCAGGTTCTCTATGACTTACCAATGCATTTTCATTTAGTCGTTGGCTTGCTAATAAGGCTTGTGGTGTAGTATCGAACGAAGGCACTAAAATTCTGACCCAATACAAACTATCGGCACTATGTTTTAATGGGCTGATAAAAATATAGACCATTGTCTTAGATTGTGTTGCGCTAGACGTCTTGATCAATTTGGCCAGTTTTTTGTATTCTGTCACATCTTCTATCCATACAACACATACATGATCATCAGAAGAAACGCGTTGATAAATTTCAGACAGTGTTTGTTCTGATGAAGGTGATGATTTGAGGAAATAAGGTACATTGACCACGAATTCTACTGTACGATCTGAATAATATGGCATTTTGGCACAAATAGTGGCATCGAGCTTTCCTTTGTAGCCTTTGTGTTCAGCTATATCGACTGGCCAACCAAGACAGTTCATGAATTGTAAAAATTGCTGGCTAAGTGGTGGTGGTGTCTCGATCAGTTCTTCTAGATTTACATTGCCCGACACTGCATAATAAGCAGAAATAGAGATACAGTCGCGTTCATTTAACATGTCTAATGTTTCCATTTCAGTAATCACTGAATCTGTTAAATGCAAAGGTGTGATATGATGTCTATTCTCGGGTAACAAGAATCCAATCTGTGAAAGAAACAGTCGGAATCCTCTAGGTGTGTCGGTATCAATATTAAAACGAGTAGGTGATATTTGGTATTCATGTAAGAATTTGGATTCTGTCTTTCTTGTGTCATTCATCAATTGTCGATCAATTAAGGATTTCAATGCTTCCCATTGCTGCCATGATTCAGATTCAGGCACAAATACTTTATCCAGTGAAGGGAGTTCTTTTTCATTGACTGCAGTAGCTGTAGGCACAGTTACTGGCTTTTGTATCTTTCTAGCCTCAGCAGGCTTTAAAAATACATTGTCACCCAATGACTGCTGTGTTGTCGATGGTGGTAGTGATGCCGTATGGATGTTTTGAGGCACATGTTCCTTATATCTGGCTTCCATAGACCATACATATTTACCTGTAGTGTCTCGGATAATCACGGTAATGGCAGGTACATTATCATCAGATGTCTTTGTCGTATCAATCAAAGTAAGCACAGTACGCTTATCAATCAGAAAGGAGCGAATAGAGTATTCTGCTTCTTCAGAAGCCAGTAGCTGTTTCAATTGAGCCACATCGTCTATACTTTCTTCTAAAATCTTTTTGTTATCAGGTGAAATAAACTGGCCTAAATGATTTACAAATTGTGACATGCAGTATTCAGCTGCCATACGCACAGCCACTTCTTCCTTTTTTCTCACTGCAGAACTATTGCGTGAGTTTGGATTACTTGATGAAGGCTGTTGCGTTTGATCTGTATGATGATGTGACGTTTTGTTGACGCGAGGTGGTAATTGAAACAATTGTTTTGTAGGAGGGAAACCTGTTTCTCGTCTTTTTTTCTTTTCGACATTGACAGGTTCAGTAGGTGCGGCTAGGTTGGCTGCTTCTCGGTCAAAAATAGTGATACCTTTGCTAAGAGTTGCAATCACGGCTTTATAGCAATCTCGGTCATCAATGATCCATTGGCTAATAAGAATCCATTTGATCATACAATCATAGGCTTGAACAATCAATGGATATGTCTGTGCTAGTTTGCCAGCAGTAATGAGTGTGTCTACATAGCGGCTTAAAGCCAACACAAGTTCCCTGGCAACATTCTGCATAATAATAAATAAACAACTGCATTTGTTAGGGTCAGAGTTTACCTTGCTGTCTCTTTTTACAAAATCATACAAGTCTACAAAATCCATAAGTACATCAAAGGCTACCAAAGTGACATCGGCAGGCAATTGCATCGTCAAGATCTAAGCCAAGATAAGTATGCAATAGACCCTTCATGAATACTTGCCTTTTCTTGAATTAATTTGACTACTGTACCAACAAGTCCTGGACAGAAAGGAACATCTTCAATCACATAGACATTAATGAGATGTAAAATATATCTCATATTGTAAGAAGAAGTCTCTGTTCGAAGTGACTTGAGCAAAACTTCCAAAATATAAAATTTAAGCTATAGTTGTTCAGCACTTCATATCATACTTATCTCTGACTTACAGATAGACATGGCTTATCTGAATTTCCCTCTGCAGGTGAAGCATACAACACACGAATCTATAAGATGGAATTCAACATAAATACTTAAACTATTCTTTTTTTTTTTGTCTCCTCTCCTCAAAACTCCTTCCTTCTCCCTGCTATCTTTTCTATTTATGTTTTTTTTTCTAACCACTAACCAGCTGTGTAACTAATTGTTCCTGTTCACCTACCACGGAAACACTTTCCAAAGACACGTCTGAAGAATCCCAGCTTGATTTAGCCAATTCCACCTTGTCAAAATGATTTGGTAAGCACATAATTGTACTTAACACTTTGATGGCAGCCAAGCGCAAATTATCAACCGAAACGTTTGTTTTGTACTCAAAAGTCAGTTTGGGAAGGACCATTTTGATGGCTGAAATAAAGTCAGGCACCAGCATTCTGACACCTTCAAGATCAGTAGCAAATAACTCAGTACATGAAAGCAAAATGGTGGGCAAACATGCTTCTGACTTTAGACCTGTCATCAATGCAGCATAAAAGCGTTCAATATACGTCCGCAAAAAGGGTTGTCGTCTCTGAGGTTTACAGAATATTCTGCAAAGTGTGGCTAATGATTCTGCACATCCACGTTGAGCTTCTGTATCTGCCTGGTTGGATTTAGAGGCAGCATCAAATAGATAGGTACCAAACATGTTTAAAAGTGTGTTGCCATCAGGAGAAGCCATGGTATCTGTAGTTTCTATAGCAGAATTGAGCGTATCCACAAGATTGCCAATGCCTAACATGGCCAGTGTAAAATTATGGCTTGGGAGTTGTAGTGGATGAGGAATAAGATAAATGATACGATGCCATGCGTAATAAGTGAATTCATTAGGCAAATCAAGCTTGACATTAGGGCCACTCACAAAGACGCCTTCTGCATTCTCTTGGTCTCCGTACACAAGGTGTTGAATTCGTTTTGTGATTGCAAGTGAAGTCGAACTCCATTGTTGAATAGCTTTAGGACGATGAATCCAGCGACCAAAGCAGCTTTTGAGGATATCCCACATTTCTACGTCCATTGTGTTTGATCTTAACCAGAGTTCAAACAAGACTTGTAAAAGACTGTCACATAACTCGTCCCCCATATTCATCACGCCCATCGTAGAGGATTCTCCTGTTGGTTCCTTGAGTAAATAATCAGTAATGCCCAGCATGACTTTTAATAAGACGCTCCATGTATCTGTTGACATCTTCAGTGTTCTTCCTGCCATGGCAAACACTCGTAGCGATTTTTTGCATAGCTCAATATGTCTTTGAACTAATTGGGATAATGTCTCCTTGAGCGTTGCTTGAGAATTTGAATTGTTGGGATTGGATTGTAATCCTGATGTGGCTGTTGAAGCTGCATTGGTGGTGCCTGAATTTGCATTCGTATTAGATGTGGGTGTAGAGGAACTTGTGGGTGGATTAAATGTGATGGGTACAATAGTACTATGAGCACCTACAGGTAACATGTTAATATGGAAAGAACTGCTTGGTTTAGGTGGCAGTAAATGGCTTTTATCTTGTGTTGGTACAATGCTGTTTCGAGCAATACGAGGCTGAAACAAAAGAGAGAATTGATGAAAGATGATCTGATAAAACTCTTGCTCTAGCCCTTCTTTCATGACAGCAGCAGGACGCGTTTGTGGCTCAAATAGCCATCGAGAATAGATTTCGACATCATCATTGGTGATGGCCATGTCCTCTAATGGCAAATTGAAGCCCTGTCCAATAACTTCCATGAACCATTTTATATGGGCAGGCGAACAAAAGATGGAGGGATCGGGTGCTTGTTTGCCTGGAGGCGGGTGTAAATAAGTTGTGATCTCTGATATGAGTACTCTTCGAATAGAGAGCGGGAGAGAACCAAGAATATTGGTTTCTATTAAGATAAGTCTTTATTTCTCAATCTATGGAATAGTTACGTGTATCATGCTGTAAAAGACGAAGTTGAGCTATCCAGTCCAGGAACATGATAAAAGCCAAGAAGAATAAAAATATTAAAAGAGAGGATTATGCGCAAGTTGGGATAAGGTTGACAAAGGAAACAGATCACGTGAACCTAAGAACTAAAGATACTGTTGTCTTAAAATGTATTACTTTCCTGGAGAAGAGTGGCTTTCTTTATACATGGCTGAGCTGATTGACTGTAACAGTCAATAAGTCATCAGCAGCTTTTTTCTATATTTGATTGCTCTTGGTTTGTTGTTATAAAAGGTTGTATATGAGTAACCAGGTGTAATTTAGTAATTATTATTAGATTTGTACTCTATATAAAAGATCTACAGACTTTATAGTCTTGATTTTAGTGTGCCCTGATTAGGGGCCTGTTCTTTCTTACTGTGCTACTCTATCAAACATGGATTTGCCATGTGTGTAGGGTCTTACAAATATGTGTTACATTGTAATCAAAACTCTTCTATTTGAAATTAATTGCTTGCCGTTGATCAACAAAATACTTGTTGAAACAACGTAGGCTGGTTAACAACTGACTTATTCGCCTGGGCACCTTTCAAGTGTCAATTGAACCCAGTTTGTTATGCACGGAATTTTTTCATGGTGCCATTATTAAAAAAAAAAGAGTATAAAAAGAGGGTTGATTAAAAAGCAATTGTATTTTATTAGACATCCACTTCCAATCCTTTATTCTAAACAATGCTCTTTACTAAGGTCCTTACTGCTCTTGCTGTTGTTCAAGCTGTCTTGGCTGCTCCTCATTACACAGAAGACAAATCATTGACTAACACTCATTATAATCATCATAAAAAGGCTTGGAAATCTTATAAGTATACTCGTAAATCTTACAAGGGAAAGAAACACAAGTCCAATACTACTACTACCACTCGTACGGCTAAGGTTACTCGTACTACTACTGCTACTGCTAAGGCTACTTCTGCTTCGTCTGCTGGTTCAGGTGATATCAAGTCTCAAGCATTGGCCGCTCATAACAAATACCGTAGCAAGCACCACGTCCCTAATGTCAAATGGAGTACTAAACTTTCCAATCACGCTCAGACCGTTACTGATTCTTGTGTCTGGGGTCACAGTGTTGTAAGTATTTATCTGATTGGATTGGTTTCACATCAAGGTTTTCTAATTTATGTATTTCCTTATTTATCAATAGATGAAAGGCACAGGCCAAAATATTGCTTATGGCTATAAATCCATGGAGGCTGTAGTTGATGCTTGGTACAATGAAGTCAAGAATTATAACTACAAGAATGGTGGATTCAGTTCTTCTACTGGTCATTTTACGCAAGTTGTTTGGAAGAGTACTACTGAAATTGGCTGTGCTGCTACTTATTGTTCTAACTTGAAGGCCACTTATTATGTATGTGATTACAGTCCTCCTGGTAACTGCGCTGGTCAATATCAGGCTAATGTACTTGCTCCTTAACTGCTTCCCTTCCATTGATTGGAAGAGTTTGACATGGATTAATAAATTTGGTCCTACATTTATTTACATTCTAAAGCTGATTATTCTCAGCATCTACTAATTGATTATGAAGTCTAAAATAAGTGGAACGATCGTCCATTAATTGTTGATGTGTGCCTAACAAGACATTCAGTATGAGTGCATGGTATTCAGGTTACCTTTCTCGAGAATATTGCCGGGAGTTCTGCCCATGACAACAATCATATCAGCCTTTCGAATGGTAGAAAGGCGATGAGCAATCACAAGTACAGTTCTACCATGCATCAGTTTATCAAGGGCCTCCTGCACCATCTTTTCACTTTGAGCTATTCAATGACCGATAAATAATCTCAGAACTTTTTAATTGAACAAACTTACTATCAAGAGCAGAAGTAGCTTCATCTAAAATCAAGATCTATCGACAAAATTCAGTGTATTGAACAAATGAATTCAAACTTACCTTGGGGTCTTTTAAGATAGCACGGGCAATAGCAATACGCTGCTTTTGACCTCCAGAAAGAGCAGCACCACGTTCACCTACTACTGTGTCATATCCATCAGGAAAAGTTTCAATAAACACTTGAGCATTGGCTTGGCGAGCAGCCTCTTTGACTTCTTCCATAGTGGCATCAGGTCTTCCATAACGAATGTTTTCTAAAATAGAAGTAGCAAACAAAACAGGCTCTTGATTGATAAAACCAATATGGTGTCTTAACCAAGAAGGATCCAATGTCTTCAAATCATGACCATCCAACAAAATCTGACCATCTTCAGGCTCATAAAAGCGCTCTAGTAAAGAAGCAATAGTAGATTTACCTGAACCAGAAGGACCACAAAGAGCCACAGTAGTACCTTGAGGCACAGAAAGACTGAATCCATCCAAGACTTTATGATCAGGACGAGAAGGATAACTGAAATCAATATGATCAAATACAACATCACCTTGGACATGGTCCATGATGATACCACCTCTCAAAGGCACATTGGGGTGCAAATGAATAAACTCAAACACACGGGAAGCTGATGCTGCTGCCTTAATTGATTGACCAAACAGAACACCAAGCGAGACCAAAGACTGCTGAGCTGTTTGAGTAGATAGCATGTAAGACATGAGGTCGCCACTGGTTAATTTGTTTTCAACAACTAATGATCCACCATAATAAAGTACAGTCAAGACCATACAGCCAATAGATATGTTGGTTAGTCCTTGAAAAAGACCAATATGTAAGCCTAAATGTTGGTTCGCTTTAGCTACTTGATTGCACGTCTTTCCATAATGTTCTATTTCACGATCTTCTGAGGCAAATGCACGTACAGTTCGCATATTTGTGACCACTTCACCTGCTACACCACCTGAGTATCCATCCAACTGCTTATTGTGCTTGCTTAATTTACGTAAATAAGCACCATATACGTTAAGCAAAATATAAAGTACAGGCATTGTTCCTAACATGGTCAAAGTAAGTGAAGTGGAGATGCGAAAGAGTTGAATAGATGATCCAATGGTTTGAGTAACTGATTTAAGTCCTTGTGTGACCAATTGTTTAAAAGTACTCTATATATGTACTTGCTTAGCTTTGCTTTCTTTCTGCTAGCATTTTTACCTTGAAATCAGAAACGTCAGCTGTCAGTCGACTCACAAGTTCACCACTACGATGACAGTCAAAGAACGAAATATCCTGTCGAATAATAGCAGCAAATAGCTTGGATCTCAATCTTTTAGCAACATTTTCACCAAAAGCAGAGACGAGTGCAATATGAGCAAATGTTAACAATCCTTGAGCAGATAAAAGTCCAAATAATTTCATGGCAGGTCCATTCAAGTCGCGGATAGTAAGTGAGCCTGTAGCAGCTTGAACACTACGAGATAAAATATTGATCAATTCACCAGTGACAAGAGGTGTTTGCAGCTGAATGATAGCTGCACCAATAGCAGTAAGAATAATAAGACCAAGTAAGAGTAGATCAGGTTTGACAAGCTCCCAAATGTCCTGAGCAATTGATTGTTTTTTAGAAAGCGGTTTAGGAGGAACAAAGGTTTCTTTGATTATCATTGGATGTTGAATAGCTTCATTGTAGGCAGTTTTGAACTTAAATGAGGGTCCAAATTTGATACCAACAGTAAAAGAGGCAATAGGAATACTGTTCGTCTTGATTGTATGACACGATTGCTTCAACATGGAAGCTAACTTGGAAGGGCCATGGCGTTGACTACATAATGTGTTACTCATTCGTTTGAGGACGATTAACTCATACTTTGATTGAAGACTAGGTTGTGTAGATAAGCAGTGTCGAAGTGTACTTGAATTAAATAAGGGTTTGATAGAATGTGTTTTGAACAGGTTGGAACCCTTTTAAGATATCAGTGTATACTTTATTATACTATCTTCATACCGCACTAGAACACGGCCTAAGCGTGAGCCTGGCCACCAACAAAGGCATAATTTATGTTGACTAAAGAAGAAAAAAGAAGCGGGGGGAGGCTGAATTAAAAGCAGGTCAAATTCACATGATTTTTGTACTTTAATAACAATAGAATTAAATGAAGGGAATAATTTATTCGATATTGATCAATCGAGATTGGTTCTTATTGCCTTTGGGGATGATTAACTTGAGGATACCGTCTTGACAGGAAGCCTTGATTTGTTCAGCATCAATTGGGTTGGGGAAGTTGAAAGATCTTGTGAAGGAGCCAACAACACGTTCATTCAACCACCATTTAGGACTGTTGTGTTGAGTAACTTCCGTAGTTTGTTGCTTTTGATCCTTGTCTTGCTCTGTGGGGGATTTTCGTGACGTTCATTCTTCATTGTACCTTTTAAGACTAGAGTACGACTATCAGATACTTCAATCTTGATATCCTTCTTGTCATAACCAGGAATCTCAACCTGAAGCTCATAAAATTCAGGCTTCTCAATCATGTCTGTAGCAGCATGACAACCAAAGCTAATGTTGCTAAAGTTTGAATCAGAATCATTGTTGAGAAAAGGTGCAAATAAAGGTTGATCAAAGACAGCCATTGCACGTTGCATATCACGTAAAGCTTCAGTAAATAAGCGTTGGGTAAGAGCCATTTTTTGAAGTATTTTATTTTCTTCTTAAGATTTTAATAGACAAAGCAAAATTGTATGCGTATCTTTTATATCCTTTAAGGGTTTGCGTTGAAAAATCTAGAAAAATTAGTTACTTTTTTGGAAACTTCTACAGCATTCTGGTCTTCTGCATGAAAAATCATGCTACTAATGATCACAAGACTTGTAAGCTGTAGAAGTTGCTACAAGTTCGAGGACTTTGTTTATAAGCAATTTCACTGTTTTTTATGTCGATATGAAAGATTTTTGTATGGTAAAAGGAGACACATTCAATATGACATAGATTCAATACTCTTGTTGCTTTATTCATAGTAAGGCGCACTTTAGACCACTAGGTTCTTTTCTTCCTGAGTAGTGCAAGAAGTGATACCATTAACAAACTTTCTAAGATGAAACTATTAATATTTTGCTCAGGAGTCTTCAGTTGTGGCTATTGCATTTCTTTTCAATGCATACTTCCTTGCAGTCGTGTTGAGTCTTGCAGCAATCACCGTTAGAGCCATTGCCTCTTCTTTTACCAAAAACAGCTCTTTTTAAGGAACAGGATGCGATAGCTGGAACAAGAGAGACATCATTGCTTGGCGATGAGATAGCCTCTTTGAATGAGCCGTTACATTCACCATCAATGCAACTGTCTATACAGTCAA